TTTAATTTTCGTGGGAATTTTGCCAATTCATCAAGAATTTTGTTTGTCGTTGGAACCAAATCTCTGTGGATATTTAACAGAGCCAACCCATTTAGCCGAGATTCGGAAGTAGTACTTTGTAAATATGTTTTCAACCTTCTCAAGTTGTAAAAAGTCCTTTCATTCGTACATGTTGTAATAGGCAAACATGCAAGAATATAAAACAACTTCAAAATATTAGGAAATTAAGTTAAGGATTCTTTACACCGATTGAGCGCATCAATAGCATGCTCAGGTAAAATAGCTAAACCTAGTAAATATATACACCACAGTTCGAATTCACTGACTAAATTTATTTCAGTATCAATATCATAGGAATAAAGTTTTGCTAAATATTTAATTTTACCAATAGTGGCATTAGAAACCGAAGATGGATCTTTGGGTAATAAAACTTGGAAATTGCTAAAGACTTGTTTTTACATAAAAACCATACTTTAATTTGCGATAAAAAAGTATCTAAGAATGGGATTAAAATGGATATTTTATAATATTCTTCAGTTGAGCTAATATCTATTATAAATCTCAATAATTGCCTAGGTGCTAGACGAGGTTTAATTAGTGTTATATCATAAAATTTCAACGTCTAGATAAATATTATAAAAATATTCATCTACATTCATTCTTATTGTATCTACCTGTTCATATATATTCTCCGCCAAATCAATAACCTGAACCAAATCTAAATTTGGTTTTTTAAATTTCTACAAAGTAGTGAGCTGTAAGAAAATAATTAATTGATGCAACTAGCAGCAATGATAAACTCTGATTGATCAATTGAATTCAATAATGATATCGCTTCTGACGACACATGACTTTTTTTCATGCTCAGCCTTATTTAACTTTTATATTCTATTTCTTCTGTGCTACAAAATGGAAGTAAAAATGAAAAATATTTAAAAAATTATATTATTAATTCTAACTCACTAATAATTTTGAATTTAATAAAATAATTACATATAACAATAAAATAAATTGCCGTTTGATTTCAAACTCTTTGACTAAAAATTTTTCCATTTTATTAATATTTTTGAATAATGTAAATGTACTCACAAGGAAAGGAAATTTTAATAAAATTTATTTATAAAAAAAAAAGTTTTATGTTGGAAAATTGATATTCAAATATTTGTAAAATTTTATTGGAGGGGGGGGGGGGGGTGAAAAATTTTTATTAGCTTAAAATGTTATTTATAAAACAATCAAATTTGCTATGGGGAAAGGGAATTTCCCCCCTTTCCCCCCATTGGTAGAAGTGTACATCAATGAAAGCAGCTGGCTACGTTATTTTGATTACCCATATCATTATTAAAAATTTTAAGCGAGAGAACAATTTATTTTTATGTCTTGTATATACTTTAATAAAAAATTGCTTGTTCATCGAAATTATGAGGAAGCAAAACATGTATTATGAGTGCATCGTCAGTTTAGGATGTCATTGGTTAATATTGATTTCCATTCACTGAAAATCATTTACTTGATAAATTCGACAGCCTTAAGCGTAATATATCATGGGAGGTTCAGTATATTCTAATTATACATAAGATTGAATACAAAGGAATTACTAATGATATTCAAGTAGGACTATACATTTAAGGTTTTGGATTATATGAGTGAAAATGGATTACAAAATTTTGGATGCAAGCTGTTTCTACCTCCAACGCTCATGTAGACGCTGACTACCGAAGACCCATAACATCATTTATAATTTCCGCAATCGATTCCATATGATCAACGATCTTGTGAATATATATTAAAGATTGAATAAACCTGTGCATATATAGTTTAGTATAAGCGGATTAGTTTACTTGAATGCAAAAGGAAAAAATATAAAATAAATATTGCTGAGGAAATTATTTTTTATCATAGTCAGGAAAAGGATAATTGCATCATATCGAATTTCATTATATCAAAATGATGAATTATATTTAGCGTTCTTATTGTATTCTGCATAAAATTGAATTATCCTAAATTAAAATATGAGATATTTAATACAATTAAACTAAATTTAATTTTCTTCATGCGGATCTTAAGTTGGAATTCCAATATCTATTACTTCAAGGATTCTTTTTAGTATTTAATATTAAATTAAATACGCTTTAACTTCAACTGGGAACTTAAAATATAATAATTTACCCAATATAAAATTATTTTTACAATAATACGTGATACGTGATAAAAGCGTTTTCGCCCTCTGGTTGTGGATACAACAGAGCTACGCTAGGTTTTCCTCAAAAATCCATCAAACTGGATAGTTAATTAAGAGGAGAAAAATGGGGAGCTTTTCACACGTTTGTGGGCAAGCCGCACGTACTTGTACGCGCAACAGTCCGAGAACTGTTACTTAAACGTCTATAGCAGAGGCGTAGCTACGGGGGTGGTTTTCGGGTTTGGACCCCTCCCAGAGCAAAATTTTTTTTTAGATTATACGTTCAAAAGACTTAAAAGTGACTTTATATCAAATAAATACCATTAATATTTATATTTTTCTGGTTTTGATGTCTGTGGAAGGATATTATATTACTATTGAAGTTATTCTGGATAGTATTATTATAAAGTCTTTGAGAATAATCTACTAAATTATAATAACATATTATTTATGCATTTAAAAAATATATATATTATATATTATCGAAGATATGGTTATGATTTTTAGGATAAACCCGGCCGAAGGCCCGTTTAAGAAGATCTGGGGGGCGAAGCTCCCCAGGTTTTTATATATATGGACCCCCTCTAAGGAAAATTCTTAGCTACGCCACTGGTCTATAGGTTAATAGACAAAAAGAAATGGGCAAAACAAAAGCCTATACTCAAGAACTGCAAAAATAATTTAATTACTTTAAGGGTGGGTGGTGGCTAATTTTAAGTTTAACATTTTTAATGTAAGCCTTGATAATTACTATCAAAAATTGAGAATATGTTCATATCAATTGAAATTAGAAATGAAGGTAAAAAGAAAAGGATAATTTATATTTATCACATTTTTGAATTATAATTATGAGAGTAAGGAAAGGCTCCATAATATTCTTGCCTGGACGGTATGCACAGATGTATTTCGCGAAAAGATTATGTGATGTTTGTAGAATTTGTGTCTTAAGTAAGACCATAAAGATCTTAAACGCAATAGAGGTGAGAGCTATAGCCATATAATCTCGAAAGTTGATGGAATTAGGGATCTTTGGAAAATTGCACATCGTTGATAGGTTCCAATCTTTAGGAGTTGTCCCAGAAGACCATACCTTATTAAAAATAATAAGCAGAAAACGTGGTATCGCGTCTGATGCAGCTTTCAGTTGTTCCCCCATTATATTGCCCGGTCCAGGAGCTTTATGATTTTTCAGTTTCTTTAGGGCAGCAGATATCTTAGCCAGTGTAAAATGGGAGACAGATTAAAAGGTAGTATATTGTTCCGGAAAAACTATCGTGGGTTTTCTAGATTCAAAGACATTCATATAATAATCAGTCCATAGGGACATTTGATCATCCTGATCATACATAACTTTGTTGTTCTCTAACCGTATCGACGGTAATTCTCAAAAAAAAAATATAAAAAATTTTGATTTGCAGAAATTATTGAGTTTGTTAAATAGTCTACCTCCTCTCATATCTACATCAACCTCAAAGACTTTCCTAGCTACGAAGATTCTTCTATCACTCCTTAAGGACCTCTGGATGGTTTTCCATAGTTCTCTATCAAAGTAATTTGTGCAGCGAAGCTCCTCAATCATCATTGAAGTTGTCATTGATATCCATTCATTCCTAATCGGGGCATTGTTATTTGTTAAGGCCCTGCTCACTTCCTGAATATCTTCTTTAAACATTAACCAGCATTCTTCAACCATTTTAGATAGGGCTATGTCCTTAAATCTAATAACCTTTTCACACAAATTATGGTTAAACCTATCTCTAATTTCTGGTATTTGTAGATTTCTAATATTTTGTCTACTAATTATATTTATCGGGAAGTTAAATATTATAAAAATATAAAATTCTATAATATAAAAGTAAATATATTCTATTTATTTATCTAGACAAAAATTCTATAAAAGTTATAATATTCTATAAAAATTATAAAAAAATATATTTTATGAAACAGAAATAATAAATATAAAATGAAAATGTCTGTCATAAAAATAAAAATTTAATAGAATAAGATAAATTTAATAGAATATTTAATAGAATAAGATAAAATTTAATAGAATAAGATAAAATTTAATAAAATAAAATAAAATTTAATGGAATAGAATAAAATTTAATAGAAACTATGAAGTTATAAGAGTGTAAAACTATACCTGAGCTGTAAGTTTCATAATAAGTTAATAAATATAGCAAAGAAAGAAGTAAAATATAAAGATATAAAAGGTGTACCTTCCAGATAATTAATAAAAATAATAATTATTATTAAAATAAATTATATTAGAGGTTCATAAATATTAAAATTAATTATTATTTGTAAAATTATCTATTATAAAAATTAAAATAATATCAAAATAAAGTTAAAATAAAAAGCCTACTAAATAAAATAAAATTAAAAGAAAGATATTATAAGTAAAGTATCATATCAACATTAAAAGAAAGAAACTTGTAACTAAAAATTAAGGAAATCATCATCATAAAAAGAAAGCAACTTGTGACTGAAATTAAGGAAATCATCATCATAAAAAGAAAGCGACTTGTGACTGAAATTAAGGAAATCTAGGTAATTTTGTCCAACCTCTAATTTCATCTAGTATTGATAAAAAGGATACTAACTCATTGTCATAATTCAGTTACCTTTACATATTGAAATTATTTAGTGGTTTGGCAGTAATAATGGAATTCTTAAAATTTTAATAAGTTTGTATCTAAAAATAAAAATCATCATAATATTATTAAAAATCTGGCATGATCATAATCTTTTACAATAATAAATCTTCTATTGATAATTATTTTCATGTGTTTTCATTCATACATTTACGTGTTGAAAAAAATTATGAGAAAATATAAAAAATAAATGCTAATTATTTGTAAATTTAAAAATTGTATGTTAGACACTACATAATGAAGTTATATATAATAATTTTATTATTTCTCTTGGGGTTTAAGGGATATGAAACTGATAATTTAGGTAAAATTATTAATTTGATTATTAATATAACTTTTATGATAGCTTATTTAATTTTAAAAAATTCAAATCTATTTTAGTTTATAGATAAAAATTAAATTAACTTATTTAAAATTTCTAGAATGGTCTTTATCTTGGTTAAAGTTATTTAGTCTTGAATATTATAATAATTTCTTGAATTATTCTCCTTTTATAATGATCAGTTTTTAAAATTTGGATGTTTTTAAAGTAAGATTCTTGGAAATAAAATTGTCTTCAGCTAAACTATATAAAAATGATTTAAATTCCTTTAATGTATAAGGTTGTTTAGAAATTCTTTTTTATTTTTCTCCCACCTTGCTACAAGATTCACATATTGTAAGATAAATACAAGTTATATTGAAGTAAGTATTTTTATTCAAATTAGAATTGAAAGGTATTTTTAATTTGTTTAAAATTTGGGCTTTTATGTTAAAATGATGTATTACTATTACAATCTGTTGTCCATTTAATATATGGGCAAACTAATATGATAGTTATAAATTTACCATATATTTATTTATTTTAACTTTTTGTTTCAATTTATAATAGATTTTATTAAATTTACATATACTTTGCCATGTGAAGATAAAATGGAATTTTATTGGCTTTCTTTTTTGAATGGTTAAATATTAACTAAACATTATATTTAAATTAATAAAAATATTACAATTTATATCTTTTTAAAGATATTATAAAAGATCATGCAACGGCTAATGTAAATGAGGATAAAAAAAATGATGAAAAAATTGCTCAGGAAAATTTTTTAAAAAATTCAGACCAAATAATTGAAAAAAATCAAGAATCAATTTCAGAACCCTTAAATTCTGTTGACCACGAACACAAGAATATTGAAACTAGTCAAAATAAACACAATATTTTAGATGATACATTACCAACTCATCAGCCTTTAAATGATGAGATTCAGGATATTCCAAATGATGTGAAGAATGATAGTCCGCATGGGAATAATTTTGATGATCATGAAAATAGTAAAAGTAAACTAAACATTAAATGTCTATTCAATATTTTTTGAGTGTTCTAAACTTAAATTATTTTTTTGCCAGACTTGAGCCATTTGAAAACAATTGTACCAAACTCAGGCTTGAAATTTAAGAATGTAATTGGGTCTGGGCTAAACAAAAAATCCAAAAAAATAAAATAATTAATGCTTTCCCATCTTTTATTAAAATTTTTATTTGAGTGACGGTTCGTACCTTCTGTGTACTATCTAAGAATATTTTTGGCAGTGATGGAATGTATAGAACTGAATTCTCCTAAAATATAGGCCATACTATAAAATAAATGTCAATCTGAAGTCTGCTTTTAAAATTTAATGGGGGTTTCAAATTATCAAAAAATAAATCTGTTTCACCTAGATGCCATTTTCCAAGCAAAAAGTTATTGTAAAAAATATTTTTTTCTAGGCATGTTTTTGCACATTTTTTTTTAACTTCCAAGCAACAAACCAGCTGATTTTTATATTACAACCATAAAAGGGTTCATAAAGATGTTATTTACTTTTCCATGTAAATTACATAAAACCTGTATATATAAATATTTACTAATTGTTAAAAATGTTTCAATAACATATCTATCATATTAGATAAGATTTTTTTTTTAAAATTGTCCTGAGATATTCTGGGATAAATGAAATATCTGATTAGCTAAACATTCATTTTTATAATAAGGAGTCATGGATAGTTATCTAATAGTTCTATTATCATAATTTCTTTACTTATTATAATTTAATAACAGAAATATCATATAATGATGCTCAACTATTTATTTTTTTTGATTAAAAAATGATAAATATAAGGAATAAATGTACTCAACAAGTTACGATGTGATATCAAACTATTTTAACCATTTAGCATTTTAAAAATCCACAATTCATCTTATACTCTATTTGAATTGAGTAAGGTTTACCTGTTTTAAAATTATTGCGTAATATAATCTTTAAAAAAATATAACTTGTTCGCTTCAATCATAAAAAACGCCATTATACATCTTGTAATTGTTTTGTTTGGAAATGGCCCTAGGTAATTTCCTCAACTGTGAGTTTGTTCTTGAAATTATTTTAAAGAGCTTGTCAGGATTAGGAGATATTTTAGGCTGCATTCATAGTGGGATCCGATCCGGCACGACTTAACAGCTGATTGATTTTATAAAATCTTGTTTACAAGATCAATTTTTTTTTAAAAAATAATATTGATTTTATCTTTATTTCTATACAAAAATTTTTTTTTCTTCTAAAGATTATAGATATTTTTTAGATCCTCTAGTGAAACTTATTTTGCTATTCTAAACTCGGCTAAAAATTTAGCTGAGGATTTGGCTACAGACTTACTATATTGATTGATCGACTATCTTTATACCTTTTAATTTTACTTTAAAGAATTATAAAATTATATATCAATAATTTATTTTTATGGTAACACCTTCCAAGAAACCCGCGAAGCACTGGAAAAGATGGCGAACGAGAATATTTTAAAGGAACAAAATCCCGAAAACAAAGATGAGGTGGTACCTTCTGCTTCTAGTGTTCTTGAGGATAACAAAATGGAGCTTAATGTAAATGTCGAAGAAACGACTAACCAAAACTTCGAAGGAACCGAACCGCTAAATTCCCAACCATCTGAACCAAATCCGGAATACGTTACGCCTGCTTCAAATAATTTTGTACAAAATGAGAGCGTAAACTATGTAGCAGAGAATGATGAGATTCCAGACGCCAAAACGGAAAATAATGATATTGAAAATAATGATGAAAATTTTGGTGGTATTACTGAAGAAGATCAGCAAGAAAAGGATGAATTTTTCGACGAAGCCATAAAAGTTGTCAAACAAATTGTGAGGGGGGGTGTAGGGGAAACCGAACCAGACGAAGGTGTTCCCGCGAACGAAAACTCTGCCACAGACAAAGAAGCGGACGACGATAAAAAGGACGACGGCAATAGTTTGGGTTATTATTTAAATATTACTTATTTTTTTTATAATTAGTTTGTAAGTTTTGAACCAACCAATAAAAACTAATTATTCTGTGGTCAAAACGTATAATACTTGAAAATCGAGTTAATCCGTCCAATCATATCTCTGATTTCTTGAGCCCAAAATAGTGTTGTTAGCCCGAAATATTATAGTGCAATCCCGGAAAGAGATTTTGCTCGTTGAATGACAGCGGAAAGGTTCGGACCTCTGCCAATATCTCGAGATTACTCAATCGAAAATCGACATAAATCGGCCATTTTAAGATTATAATGCTAGCTTGCATTTTTTTTTCGTGCGTGTAAAAAGGTTTTACGTATACGTTTCTCACTCGTTATAATTTCGAGAGCTTGCATTTTTTTTTTTAATATGATGAATGTTTTTGTTTGTCGCTTATTTCTCTCTCGTTAATTTTTCTCTTTTTCGCCATCTTTTTTTTTTCAAAGCTTATTTTAAAAGGTTACGCGTTTACCCGAGTTTAGACTCCCCCAACCGCCCGGTCCAAAGCGGGTCTAGATCAAATCCGCTAAATCGGTGCTTCATTTTCATACGCAATTTGATCGAACCGATCTGCCAACAAACGACCGCGTCAGAATTTATTTTAAAATCGGCTTAAATCGGTTTTCTTTGTGCCCGGTTTGAACCAGACCTTTCTTAGCATATGATGATCCTTAGTTACCAGTTAGCGGGGATTCGCTGCCGCTAATTCTCGCTAACTACGAATGCGGGGGATACGCTAAGGAAAAAAAAACGATATTTAATTTTTTATCTTCTCTTTTTAAAAAAAAAAAATCTAACCCTTTTCTTTTCACGATCTAAAAATTAATATTAAAAAAAAGAGAAACTTTTGGGGTTGAATGCCAAGGTAAAATTCAAGATGATCGCCAACGGAAAAGAAATCCCTAATTTCCTGTTCAACAATCTCGCCGATGACATTCTTGGTACCTTGAAGGACAGTAAAAAATTATAATTTAAAAAAAAAACTGAGTTTAACCTGGATTGTAAACTATTTAAGTTCACTTAATCATTAATTAATATATCATTTCGGTCAAGTTTTTTACTACGGACTTTGAGAAATACAAAATAATGCCCAATTTCTTTATTATCCAAGGACACATGCGTCCATTTTAAATGGCGCGAATCAATTGTTACACCAAGAAAATCTGTTTTTCTAGGATTTTGCCCTGATGTTTACATTTTATTTTATTCCTATATTATATATTTATATTATTATCATTGTTTGTTGTTGTTTTTTTTGAACCAGAAGATACGTCGGAAATTGATCATTTGGAGGACGCGGAAGAGGAAGACAACAACGACGAGATCCGGGGGATAGATGGGATGACCGAAAAAGATGTCAACAAATATTTTTTACGCCGGAAAACCGAGTCCAAGGTTGACGAACACGAGGGCAATGTCGAGAATACCGACCAGTCGGCAGCGGCGCTCCGATTGCAACAATTAAAAAGTGATCTGGTTACAGGTTTTTTAAACAAAAAAAAATGGCATACTTTTAATACATTTATTATTTACGGATAGCTAGTTTTTACTACTAACCGGAAGTTTAAAGTTGAGCTTGAGCCATTGCATCGGACCTATTCCCGGTTCATCCAGGCCAGATGAATTTTTTTTAACCCTTCAGTGTTCAATCAATCCGGTCTAAATCATTACTTTTAAGGGGGTTTTTAAAGGTAGAAGAGTTATTAGCGCCTCATGGCTTCTTCTAGAAAAAGAATATTATATTTGCTAAGCTCCCAACTAATAGTTTGCCAAAAATATGGAAATATTGAAATGCCAAAGCAGTTAGTATATTGTCAATTTTATATTTTCACTCTGCAAAAAATGTAAAAAAAATTGTTTAAATCGGAATAAAGTATTATGAATACGGGCGGGTAAAGTCTCATTGGACATATTTCTTAGGGTCCATTACAAAAAAGGACATTAGGAAAAAATATTTTAGTAATCTGTTCAAAAATGTAATTTAAAATCCAGGTCCGAATCTGACAGTCGAGGGGATCGTGTCCGCTCGGGTTTTGTTGGATCGGGTCCGGATTTGTCTACGCGGACCACTAGTTTGAAATGTTACTTTGTTTATTATTAGCGAATGATCTCTACGTCAAAGCCAGGAACATACTCAAGAAGCGAACGATAGGAATTGGCACACCGGAACCAGCCCTCGATAAGTAATGAAGATAAAAAAAAATGTTTAAATTTGTATCAAATTTTATGAACCCCATACGAGAGAGAGAGAGAGAGAGAGAGCATAAGAAAGGCGTGTTACGCGCGTAAGAAGGTGTAATTATTGGCGATAAAAATTGGCAATTACAAATATAAGGATTAATCGGGGAAAGATCGAAGGCTGTAATTTCGGACAAGGAATACTGAGAAGCTTTGAGGAAAAATAACTTTCAAATGTTTGAAATCGCTATTCTCCGCGGCGGAATCGCTAAAGATAATTTCCGAAAAATGATTAGTGTTTTTTTGTTCGGGGAATTCGCACCAAACGTGTTGAGGATGGTCGTGACAATAGAAGAGAAGATGATAGTCGCTGAGGAAGTTAGCGTTATTTCACACATTTCTTAGATTTTAACATGCAGAAACAATTCGTTCCAAGATTGTTATTGGGGAAGATGACCATTTCTAAAGAATCTTAGTGATCATATTCCGATTGGCTTCAAGAGGCAAATAGATATTAGAGGTCTCTTAAGAGGAAAATAAATAATCGCGTTCTCGCTTTTGTTTTTTTTTAAAAAAATAGACATTTTATCTTTTAATAACTTTTTTAAAAAAAATGTATACATACACAGAGCTAGCCACCTCATACTCGAGTCCTCCAAAATGAATTACATACCGGCCTTGGAAGAGTTAGCATACTTTTTTCTGTTCGGTCGTCATTTACCTCAAAATCTGACAAGGGCCCGTCTTATTTTCGAAGATTTGGCCAAGATCGGATCCCCCAGAGCCCAGATGGTTTTTATTTATTTTTCACGATTCATTATATATATATATATATATTATAAAACGTTTAAGAGTTAGTGATCATTTATATTTAATTTGTTGATTATTAAGTTGGAATAAGCAAGCATTTCTAATAATCCAATACTTTAATTCGTTATTAATTTTTTCGGTTGCCATTAACTTATAATTTTTATTGCCTGTCAATCGATTCAAAGGGCTTGGGATTCTTACATTCGACCGGCCTCATCTCCCCTAACGTTCAATCTTCGCAGGCCAAGGCCCTGATATATTACACATTCGCTTCTCTAGGGGGTAACCCTTTCGCGCGGATGGCCCTAGGCTACAGATACAGGAACGGGTATTCGGTTCAAGAAAATTGCGAATCGTCTCTCACTAATTACAGGTTTATTATAGCCTCCATCTTGGAGATCTTGGAGTCATAATCCCCTATTGCTTAAAAAACTCCGATAAGATTCTGAAAATGTTTGTTTTGGGAAAAACTTTCGCCAATATGATATCTATTATTTTTTGATTTTCCCGCTTATAGGCGAGTAGCCAAAACGGTGGCCAAAGAGGTGAGGGACAGCAAAGCGATAGACAATCCCGGGGTTATTCAACGAATACGCCTTCTGGATTTGGCCGATCCTCCTCAAACGCCTCCACCCGAGAATACCGTAACTACTGGCGTGTCAGAGTCTACCACAACGAGCTCCGCGGATTCTACCACCGGTACTAATTTTTCCGACACGTTTTATTTTTTAGGAAAAAAAAATGAAATCTGATTGCAAGGTAATACCCGATTTTGCCCGTTATTTATTTTTAAGGTGTATTTTTTTTTCGACGTTTATAGTTCCATTTTCCTAGTTTATCCGCTTAGCTATTTTCCCTTTTAATCCCCTATCTCCATTTTCCGTGGTCCTGGGCTGATGATGTTTGGGATTTGGAGCCAATTATAATGAAATTATTCAAATATCAAGCTCTGGGTCATATAAAAATTTAGATCTTCCATTTAATATACCTAAAAGTTGTAATTACCAATAAAAATGTGTGGTTTAATGAGTATTGAGGTTTCTTTAATTTTGATGACTACTTTTGCCATTTGAGAAGCTGCTAATGCTATGCTATGAAATTTTCTTCTAATTAATTTTTTTTTTACTTGTTTATTTTATCGATATGATATAATTTATATTTTCGCTGAATTGATTCTTTTAAAATTGATTTGATTGAAACTTATCAGTCAATTTTTGACTGAGAAACGACTTGTCCTTCCCAAATTCTATGCGTGATATCTTTAAATCTTCTCCTACTCTATTATAATTTTCTTAATTTATTTTTTTTTATAAAAATTTATACTTTTCATTGGATCCCCTCCCTTAATTTAATTGGTCATTCCACCTTTCTACGCACACGTTTTTTTAACGATTTTATACGTGCATATAAGATCTTTTCCAACTTCCCCTCCTCTCAACCATTTTATTAAGGTTTCTTAAGATCCAATGTGTCGATGCATGATTTAACTAATCTTCTTTATTGACCATAGACTCAGTCATTAGACCCCTTGGTTATTTTTTCGGATTGTAAACGAGTTAATAAAGCAGGCGACCTTTTGCTATGGCATTAATAACTCTCTCAACATATCTCGTTTCTTAGTGTATTCCTAAATCTCCGAGACCTTCTTTATTCATAACCGTAGATGATAAAACGCCCGAACGGTACGCCTTTATCAGAGTAATTTGCGGTATAAGAAGAAAAAAAATTGATTACAATTCTTTAATCCTATAAACTTTTTAATAATTTTTTATATAGGTTCGAATACGGCGAATTCTCAGAGTTCTTCTACAACTTCTAGTAGTTCAAGCTCTTCGTCAAGTTCAAGTTCTTCTGGCTCCGTCATCTTAGATCGGGATCTGATAAAATACTACAAGTTTTTGGCCGATAAAGGTGACGTGCAAGCGCAAATAGGACTGGGCCAGCTTCTATATCAAGGGGGCAGAGGGGTGATGCCTGACCCCCACCAGGCTTTCGCGTTATTCAGGGAAGCTGCCCATACATCCAACAATGCCTACGCTCAAGCCTTTCTAGCTAAGGTTTTTTCTTCTTCTAAAATATAAATTTATGGAGTTGTATTTTTAAAAAATATGACTAAATAAAAAGTGGAACGATCTAAAATTTATGCCACAAATCTATAATCACGAAAAAGGATTTAAGATCACTTTATTCTCAAATTCTCCTCGATTTTAATCCCATCTTTTAGAATTCTTGGTTCCATAAATTCTTGCATTAAAAAGAGATAAATATACATATATTTTAAATTATGTTTTCCCAATTCTTCTTATTCACTAGAAAATAAATTTATTTGGTAGGTCCAAAAATCTTGAACTTTTATAAATGTATCGGCTTTTTTTACAGTAGTATATTTAAATATTTTTTTATATTATCAATGAAAAAAAATTATAAACAATTGTTGCCTTCCTATCCAAAAATAATTACAGATGTATTTAGAAGGCATAGGAGATGACAAATTCTTACCTCCCGATAACAAAACCGCCTTCGCGTATTACACCAAATCCGCCAAACAGGGTTTAAACATATTGCGCGTTGCGTTTTTTTTTATCTCTCTCTCTCTCATTATGTGTACCTTATTGTATGAAAGATTTTAGAGATTATAAAAGGATGGAAAAGGTTAGATGAACTAGGAAAACATCAAATATATTTGATTGATTGATTCATATTATTTTTAAAAAAAAATGATTGATGTGAATACTCAAGATAATCCCATGGGACAAACGGGGCTCGGCGTTATGCACCTTTTCGGTTACTCGCTTACTAACCCGGAACGCGTGGATTCGTCCCGTGGCGCATCCTTGACCGCACTTAAGGATAAAAAAAACGCCCCGACAAACGGGGTTAACGTAGATTATTTGGTCAGTGATCCCGCTAAAGCTTACGGTTACTTCAAGGCCGCGGCTGATCAGGGATACCCCGAAGCGCAACTTTACATAGCTAACATGTATTTCAGTTGAGTGATCATAATTCTGTTCTAAATATAGATATTTCCTATTTTTAATGCGCATGCGTACATTACATTATAAATAAATAGATGTAATCAATCTTTGATACCATTTTTTTTTTTAAAGAAGAGGTGTCATTGTCAAATTCAATGACCATTTCGTATTCAATTATGATATTCATTCATTCATTCGTTATATATTGCAGCTGGTTTAGGAGTAACTACCAATTACAAGCTGGCCTTGAAATACTACAATCTAGCTTCGCAATCAGGAAATCTATTGGCGTTTTATAACCTAGCCCAAATGCACGCAGTCGGTCTCGGTTCGATAAGGTCCTGCTATACCGCTAATGAAGTTCCCTTTTTTTTATATTCTCCCCCCGCCTTTTCAAATAGCGGCCTATTTCTTACTTTTATTTTCACTTTTCTCCCGGATTACGTCTCATCATATTCAATCACTTTGTCCTCTCTTTATTTCCAATTCTTATGTCAAGGAGTGCTTTACCTTGTGTATTTTATAACATATTATCCAGTTATTCAAAAACGTCGCCGAACGGGGTTACTGGGGCAGGATGCTAATGGAAGCCTATCACGCTTATAAGAACGACAATCTTGGACCGGCCCTCGTCATCTACCTCTTTTTGGCCGAGTTGGGCTACGAAGCTGCTCAGAGCAACGCGGCTTATATTCTTGAACAGGGTTTAGATATATATCACGATTTTCTCACTCCTTTTTTTTTTTCGTTACAAAGAGTTTGCTAATTCAGATCATCGATACATTCATTTAAAATGTATTTTTTCTCGAAACACAGAAAATATATCCTGGTTCCCGAGAAACGAATCCCTATCCAGAGCCTTCGTTCTATGGAAGCGAGCAGCTCTTCAAGGTTTATTTATACTTATTATTCGTTTATTAGAACCCCCCAAAATACTACCTTTAGCCTCATCGTGGCGGGAGAGTGGCAAGGTCTTTTGGCGGCTTATGGAGGTCTAAGTCTGGGTCTAGAATGGGATCACCGTTTCCTCTGCGCCTAAAGGGGTCGATGCCAGGAAGGGCATCCGATTGTAAAAACCTTGCTACAAAAGTTCCTAATGATTATATCAGAGGGAAAACTGGCCAACCTGGGTAAACCTGGAAATCGTCATTGAACGGAGAAGTAGAAGAAGATTTGTTTATTAGAAGCCATAGCTATACCACATATTTTAAAGTGCACGTGTTCACTATATCTCGAATAGATGGCGTTATATTTGTAGGGATACTTATCTCATATCCATCAAAAATGGTTTTATTTTTGTATTTAAACGAAAGTGAAACTTTTACAACGTATTTTAGAAATTTAAATACGAGAGATGCCATGGAATAAGAAAAGGATGAAAACCGTTAACAAATTGCTACATCAAAATTATTTATTACAAAATCGATATAGTTTGTTGGGATGGGGGTTAGCGGTTAATTATGGGCGCTATTTACTAAATTAAAGTGTTTAACATATATTTTAAATTTATGAAGGTTATAATGGTGCCCGTCTTAAATTGGGAGATTTTTATTACTACGGGGTCGGGGGAGAGGTCGATTACGAAGCGGCGGCCCATAATTATCGTACGGCTTACGAGAGCCAACGCAACGCCCGAGCGCTCTTCAACCTGGCTTTCATGCACGAAAAAGGGTTCGGTCTCAAAAAGGTAATATTTAACTCTTAAGATTTTTTTTTTAAAAAAAATAACAATTATATGTCCGTCGTTAAATGATTGACGTGTCTTATCTCCGAATCATCTCGCATATTAGGGTATGGTAGCCCCCGAATACCTAACCCTCTCGTATTTGCCTATTATATTTTCGAACTTTAATCTAAATGCCATTTTTTTTAAATTTTTGAGACGCCGAAAAAATGATTTTTCTTTTCATCACATGCTTTGATGTAATTAATATTATGATTCTACGAGAATCGTAGGATGTTTCATTTCTTAATTTGATTATGATGAATTGAATCTACCAATGAAAATTATTATAATTTCTATCCAAATTTTTAGGCGATTCAGCCGTAGCCAGGAATTTTCACTTAGGGGGGCCAAGTGCTTATTTGAGGGGACCACTATTTTTTTAAAATCAAACAAATAATTACGCATTCATAGAAATTTTTTCCTATTTTTATTAAAAATTTAATAACAAAATAATACTATAATATGAATATACAAAACAAAATAAAACTATAATATGCATATACAAAACAAAATATTACTATAATAGAATACGGCGATTTTTATTTTTAAATTTTAATATAAATGAACTAAAAGATAAATTCTGCGTTATTCTTTTTTCATACGCCATTAATACTAAATTTTGTTTACGTTTATCCTTCATAGACTCTCTACTGCTCGATAAAACTCTCTTTAATGTAGAGAACGAGGCCTCACAAGAAGCCGTTTATCGCTGCTGAGTAGCATTTATATAATTCTTTAAATGCATTATACATAATATGTAAGATATTTTCAAAATTATGATTTTCTTTAGCTTCCGAAGCTAGCAATCCTTTTGCTATCTTCATTTCATGATGCAGTGTTTCCATATTTAAGTTTAATAGGGATTTTAATGTGGCCATTTTATCTGATAAAAAATAATCAGGGTCAAGGGGGGGGCAATGTATTAAAAGATGAAAAAAGATTAAAATCATCTTCTGTAAATCGGTCTAATCAGTTTCTGAAATTTCTGATGTAGTATTACTAGTAGTTTGTAGAGGTCATGTTGCTTGACATTTGTTTAACTTTAACTTAAAATAAGAGTTAATAACTGATTGTTTCTTCATAATTTTAAAATAAACGCTGTAAAATAAAATAACTGGTTATATATTATAATATAAATGTGATACCTATAGAGAATGTTATACACAATAAAAAAAAATGAAAAAAAAATGAATGAATGATAATTTAATATTGGATAAAAATAAAAATAAAACTGGATAGAAAATAATTTACAAACTAGACATGTTTGTAGAATAAATATTCAAAATATATTTTAAAAATATAAAAATAATCAATTCTAAATAGACATGTTTTTTGAATATTTTTGAATAAATATTCAAAATTTATATTAAAAATATAAAATAATCAATTCCAAAAAAATTTTCAAATTTGGGGGGCAAGAAAAATTTTTGGGGGCCACTTTTGAAGGCCAAAGATTTTTTCTGGGGGCCAGGTTTGGGGGCCAAAATTTTTTTGGGGAGGCCCCCCTCCCTCCCCCGTGGCTACGGCCCTGCCTATCTATTTATTCTATTTTATTGTATTCTACTCAAATGCTAAATTAGAAATATGATGCATGCCAGTCATTCTGTCTGCGATGCATACATATAAAGGAGAAATAAAATAAATAAAATGAGAAGGAAAGTGAATACTTATGAAAGAGATTTGAAAAGTTGAATAGAGACAAATTTCTATTTGATGGCAACTTTTTTCACCTAGGTATTTATCCAATTGTCTTTCTAAGAAAGAAAGAAAGAAAGAAAGAAAGAAAGAAATCAAAGAGAAAGAAAGAAATCAATAGAGTAGATATGAAATAAATAAATGGTATAGGACCTCCCTAAGATTATGACTTGTTAAAAAATTGATATTTATTAATATATCATGTTATGATTGTAGGATCTCCATTTAGCCAAAAGATATTACGATATGGCCATCCAAGCTAGTCCAGACGCCATGGTCCCCGTGTCTTTGGCGCTTTTTAAACTCTCTCTCATGCTGTATTACGAGCAATTTAAACAGGTTTCTAATGAATACTCTAAGAATAATGCCAAAATTTCTTCAGAGAATATCTAATTTAGTATTTGTATGCAAGTGTATATTATACGTATTACCACGTTATAAGGATTTAGCAAGTTTTTGAAGGTTAAAATCATTATAATTTACAGTCTGGGCATGGTATAAATAATTACAGGTCTGGTTAAAAAACCCGATGGATCCACGGGCCTGTTCGGGTGCTGGAATACGATTCCAGTAAAATCAGCCCTTCTAAAAAATGATATAAACGAAGTGTTATAAATGATTAAAATCTTTAAAAAAAATCCTAAAAACTCAGGTCAATTAAGCGTACCCTGAATACTCCGAATTCCAGTGACATCTATATAACTATAAATTTATTTTGGGGAACTGTTTAACCCTCGGGTGGTACATTGGGAGGATTAGTGATCTGCATCGGGCCTAATTTTTCAAGCCCGGCCCAAACCCTAAATTTTTAAAAATGTTTTGCCGGCCCAGCCCGAACCTGAAATTTTTTTTAAATATAGAAATTAATTTTTATAATTACTCAAAATAAAAGACATACGTTATAATGTCATTTAGTTTCAATAAATAAAATCAAATATTTTTATTTTGCATAACAAATTCAATATAAAATTGAGAAATTTAAGATATATTAAAAAAAAAATTTCAAGGTTCGATCCGGCTCGATTATTTTAAATAGAATTAGGCCCGAGCCCGACCTGAATCCCGTTCGGGCCGGGTCGGACTTGGGCCGGCCCTAATTTTGCAGGTCTCTAGGGAGGATATCAACACCTAAAAAAATTTCTCTCTACGTAACAGGATATTTTGACTTGGGGTTTTCAGTAGGTCTCCACTTTTATGTTAAGCGTTTTGCAGAGTTTCATCCATTTTTTATAGAATAATTTACCGTGGTATAAACATTTAATCATAGCTAAGACGTAACATTGTCGCCATTAAAAATAAATTTATTTTTAAGGTATATTTTTTTATATTTTACAATAAAAAAAATGAATATAATTTTTTTTATTATTTAATCTTTAAAATAGATTTTTTTAAAAAAAAAATAGTATTAAATAAATAAATAAATAAAATATAGAATTTTAAGATCCCGTTATTTTTTGACCTTACCCTTCAAAGGTTAAAAACGTGTTCGAAATTCGATTTTTGATCCAAACCATTCTTTAAATAAAAAAAAAATTACTTTATTTTATAGTTGAATTACAAGAATACTTTGGCGAAACTGTACGAGCTGCAAAACCGTGTTGTACCACATGATTGGGATCTGTATCTCATCATGGCCGCCGCCTTCATCTTGGGAACGCTCATATATTTTCGACGCCGACCTTTACCCGCTTAAATATCGCGATTTTATTTATATATTTTTTTTTCCTTTCAAAAAACATATTTACCCCACGCCAAGTTATACCAGAATATTTTGGTTTAAAAGAGTTCTATAAATAAACATGTTCTTATTATACCCGTGTTTATTCCTTAAAATTTATATTTTGAATCTTTCCCAACAAGTCTCACACAAAAGACTCTTTGGATATATTTACAAAAGTGATTTGTTAATATTAAATAATATTTTTAATAGGGTTTATACTATAATTTATAATTGTCAAATGGTAGAGGGATTTGATTCAGGAAAATAAAGAGAAATCCAATCCCAAATTTGCGAATCTATTTTAGAACTTGTTGTTCCGTTTTTCGGATTTGAATTAAATAATGAATTTATATATATATATATATTAGTGATCTGCAGAGTTGTTAAAGGATCTAGATATAAAAATGTGGTATCTGTATCTAGATAGATTTTTGATTAAATAATCTGTATCTAGATATTATTTTAGACGTTGTATCTGTATCTAGATCCATTTAAAAAGTATCTTTTAACAACTCTGGTGATCTGCATCGGGCCTAATTTTTCAAGCCCGGCTCGACCCGAACCCGAAATTTTTTTTAAAAAATTGCCGGCCCGGTTCGGCTTGAATTTAATATAGAAATTAATTTTTTATAATTATTCAAAATAAACGATATATGTTATTTGGCGTCTACTTTCTATAAATAAAATCGCGTATTTTTATTTTACATAAAAAATTCAACATAAAATCGATAAATTTAATATTCATTTTAAAAAATTTCTAAGGCCTGCCATACTGTAAATAAAAAATATAGAAGGTCTAATAAATCCATGAGATATACTTATTGAGATATATATAAAGAGTATTTTACATTTAATTGATAATTGTAACAAAGATAATTGGGATTAAATACTACAGAACAAGAGCAGACGATACAATTTGAATGCATGAGTTATTTTTAAAACATAATACTTTTATTTTAATAATTGCATTTAGTTTTTAAAATTATTATAGACTGATAATTTATTTTTTTTTAAATATTTAATTCGTGGTTATTTAATAATATAAAAGATTTTTGAAATAGCTAATAATGTGTCTAACAAAATAAAATGTTAATTTACTCATATAAAATACATATTTTAATTTAATTAATAAAAATCAAATTCTGACTTCGTCTAATATGTATAGTTGCTTAAGAACAGCTGATCTTGATGATTTAGTTTTATTAAATAAGATCCCTGAATTCTCATGCTCATATCGAATTTGTTTGATTGACGTAAAACGACATTTTAAGTTAAAATTCTGGGAATTTTTTATTATCATTCACAAATCTATCATTATTTTTATAAAAATATAAATCTTAAAGAGCTTAGAGCTATTAACTACTTCCAATAATTGCAACAAATTGGAGTGCAGTAAATATTATTTTTTTTAGAATGTATTTTACAAAATAAAATAATTTTTGTTTGATATGAAAAAAATAACCTTTTTAGACCTATTATATCCTATCGATTTGTTTTCTTTAATTATATGAAGGTCCGAGCAAATATTTCTGATCGAAAGAGAATTTATCAAAAAAAATGTAGTAAAGCAAAGGACCATATGGAGCTTTAAGAATTTGTGGAAGCAAACTAATCTGACCAAAAAAAATAAATTTTTTTTTCTTAATGCGAGGAACATCTAGAAAAAAGAGATCTTTAGAAATTTTTTTAAATCAGAGGCGATAAATCTTTTTCGATGCTTCTTGATATCTCCTGACAAACGACACATTATTCCCATTTGTTGAATTTGCGCACGCGCTATTTGATTTTAAGTGTTTAATTTTAGAAAGCCCCATAAACATATAGGTAAAAAATAGCATGGGCGACATTTTGTTCCCTTTCATTTTTATTTTAGCGCTAATAAAATACCTAGATTAAAATTTGTAATTGAATATCTGGGAGGTATGCAATAAAAACATTTAATATTATTACACTTTTTAAATAACATATACTTTCATACAAAATCTTTAAAAATTGAAGTTGTAAAGAATATATAAGTGTGTGCCATTCCTTCTGTGATCTGATTTAATGCAAGCTCGAGAGTTTTTCTTTAGATCTCTACTCTTATTTTATTTTTTTTAGGGGAATGTTTGCCATCTTTTATGATGCTTTAGAAGTATTTGGAAGATCATTATTATTTTTTTTTTCTAAGAAATATGAGATTCTGAGATATATATATATATATAAAGCTGGCAGAAAATGTTGTTTACATTTACTAATAATTTTGTTACTTTTGTAAGTTTAATTTAAAAAATAAATAAATATGGATGCTAGTAATAATAAAATAAATTAATTTTTTTTTGAACAATATTTGATTGACGACTGACAACGAATATGTTTATAAACAGGCCCACATTTTTTTAATTCTTATTTTTTTTTACAAAAATCTGTCACAACAAGAATAATCTTTTTCCTGGCAATTCTGGGCTTATTCCACATTTCTGTCATGTCATAATTTAGTATAATATAACTAATTGAGTGACACCACTCTTATATTATATAAGAGTGGCGTCACTCAATTTGCTTCAACTATTTTAAATATGCGTGATTTAAAAACATACACTTTATTTAAATAAATCATTACTGTTTAAAAAAACTACAAATCTATTCATTTAAAAAAAATAAGAATATTAAAAAAATATATATGAATGGAGGTTATAAAAATTTTTAAAATCAATTTTGTTTTTATTTACATACAATAATATATGAATTAGTATTTAGTGGAATTTGCGGATATATCAAACGCTGGACAAGAATTAACGCATCCCGCTTTGCACAAATCGCATACCGTCTTCAAGCGTTCCGTTACAGCGTCTAGGAATTTTGTCACAACAGTATCTACAATTGTATGTGATATTAATTTAGGGAACTTGGGAAAAAATATATTTGAATCCGATTTGCATAATGATGAAGATGGAAACTCCATTTTAGCCCATTCTTAAAAAAAGAATTAAAACTCAAGATTTTAGTTTAAAAGTAAATTAAGCGAACTTGGAAAATTTGCCCAGACGGCTGAAAGGGTCTAGCCTAAGATAATATTTTAGCAAAAATCTTGATTTCAGACGTTTTTATCTAAAATTAAAAAATTGAATAGATTGAAGCATCTTAACAACACTTATTGAATAAGATTCATTTGTAAAATCTGTTAGAATTATTGACCTTCCGCTAAATTGTAAACACAAAATCCTATTTTTAAGCAAATTTTGTTTCCGAGATGCCAGAGATCCAGAACTTGACTCCTTACTAAAGAGCGCTCAATGATAGGTGATTTAAAAAATGACTAAGTTTTCAAATCGGACAATTCTTAAATTTCATTCGAATATCGTAATTTTAAAAAGATCTAAATAGCGGTAATCTTATTTAATAGTAATATGTGCCTTTGAGCGTATGACGGGCCGTGTTTTAGCGTCTGGATAAGATAGTTGACCCAGCGGACCGACCCATCGGGCCGATCCCGTGGACCATTCAGAATCGAGACGCTAGGGACATAGCTTTACATTCTAATATGATTTTTATATAAAATAATAATAATATAACCAACCTGGGTTATAATATTGGTAAATTTTACAAGGAACGGGCTTTTGATTTCCGACCAAATCTATTCTCTTCAATTTGTATTCCAAACATATTTGACTTCCGGTAACCTATATATATATATAAAAGAAGAGCAATTCTTAATATTTCCTTTTGAAGATCAATTTTTCCTAGGGAAGAAACAGATTGTTTAGGGGGAAAAAAAATCATCAATTAAACTCTTTACCCCATTAAGGTAAAAGACCAATTTGTCTTTGTCTTCCTTGACCGAAGCTAAGCTGTCTATCAAACTCACCGATCCTACATCAGGCTTGAATCCGGTGGGAACTCCCATTTCCAGCATCGTAAATCCACTGTCGGAAGGCTTATCCAGATTCCACTTTGTACAAGCTTTGACTCCCAATATTTCACTGCTCGCCAACGTGATGATGAGTAAAGAGAAATGTTGTTTACCTTGATCTACATTGGCTTATTATTATTGAGAGTTATATATATATATAAATTTTCGAAGTGTTTTGGAGCCTAAATAAATATTTTTTATTAAGAGTTGATGTACATACAACAGGGACAAACTCTTATGAGCCCCCGCCCAATAATTCGCGGCCTCTAAGCTGTAAAATTTGGCTTCCCTACAGGTCGCTGGAGAATTCCGTTAAAATATCTGCTTAACCAATTTTTTTGACCAACATTTTTTGCCTTATACGATACTTTATAACCTTGATGTATCTTGTGAAAGTTGGAACTCCCACCCAAATATAAAATATTTTGTAACTGATTTTTTTTAAAAACTATTATCCTACTATAACTAAGCAAGATGTTTTTATTAAAAAAAATAATTAATTTTATATAGCTCAACCTTTAGACAAAGCTGTTATGAAGGTTAAATTGGATTTTATTGCCGATCCATTATCTATTCTTAGAATTATAGGAGAAAAAGTGGAAGAATTATCCACCATTGTAGAGTTCAGAGTAGGTTTACTGATAACTTCTCCCTTTGATTTGCCAATAGCTTCTCCCTTTGACTTGCCAATAGAAGTTTCTACCCTTGGCTTGTCTGTAACTTCTTCCTTTGACTTGCCAGTAAAAGTTTCTATTTTTGGCTTGTCTGTAACTTCTTCCTTTGACTTGCCAGTAATAGTTACTACCTTTGGCTTGACGCTAAGAACTTCTTCCTTTGACTTACTACTGGCCTTTCCTTTAAACGAGCCTATCGCCTTTTCGTCCAAGTGATAATTAGAGGTTACCTTATAGAAAAAAAAGAATAAGATTACGCTTTACATTATTTAAGTCATAATCCTTTGCTTAGAATCTTTTATCACTCTTCTTATAGTTTGCACTTACGACTCTGATCATTTTTTTTATTCATTTCCCTACCTGCACTAATCCCACACCTTGTCCAGCTGCATCTATAAAGATTTCCTTGGGGATGATATCGCCTATAGGTAAGGAAACGGTTTGATATAGTATCGCGTTAATTCTATTAATTGTGAAGGGAAAAATTTTGTCGCCAAATTTGATTTTGACTCTGTATATGGGATCGGGACAGAACGTCAATTCGGAAAATAGGGCCAATGCTTGTAGAGCTATTATCGTATCCTTTGATTTTTTTAAAAAAATTATTAAATTATCACGGGGCAAAATGGTAAATGCCGTTAATAGGGAAGAGAGGAAATAGTCCCAACATCAAATTTTAGTGCCCGTCAGTCACAAATGCTAAGTTCGGGGGGTGTTCGACCAATAAACTTAGGGTTTCGAAATCGTTATATAACCCCTCATTCACAGTTGGCGGATAATTATTGTTTATATTCGAATAATTGTTTATCCGTATTCTAACAAAATTATCGTCTTTGTTTCTTTCTCCTACTTGATTCGAAATCTATTTCTACACACGTTATCAAATAGTAAACCTGAGTCGAATAGAAGCCACCATATCCGCCTTGCTGAACGACAAGCCATCTGGCGATCTTGGTAGCGTCCGAAATTCTGTTGAGTAAGAGATGCGTGAGTAAGTTGTAAGCCGTGGTTTCCACGCTCAATCTTCCGTTATCCAGATACGTCCAATGGATATAAACTTTTTGAAAAAAAATTATTTTATTGGAATAAAAGGATCATTTAAGCCCGGGCCTTCTTGGACCAAATAAAGATAAAAAAAATATAATTAAAAAATTAAGTTATGGGTGGGAATTTATTTTCGTTTTATATATATATATATTTTTTAAAACTATCATCTTTAACGGCCATTTTGTAAATGGTGTCCGCGCAAAAGGGTGCTTTAGAACTTTTAGCTAGAGTGAGTGCATAACACGTGATAGATAGCTTGTAAGGATCCTCGAATAAGGTGGGAAGATTGGATTCCAAGAATAATAGGGATTTGGAAATGACGGCTGTTATAATTGGTATTTCCTGGAGGAAAATTTATAAAAATTTAATATATAAAATGATAAGGTCAAATTAGGATAGATTGTATCGACCCTGCCCATATAACCGTTGGAAATATTTCTGGGGCGAGCCGGACCACTCGCAAAAAATTACCATATTGGCCGGACCTAGAAACCATTTTAAAAATTATCCCGTGTCAATTTGCAAGCCCATTTAAGACGGGGATGCAAATGGCTAAATTTATATGAAAAAATGAAGAAAAGGAAAAAAAAAAAGAAAAAAAAACTGGAAAGAATAGAATAGAAATAAAAGATAAAGAATACAGAAACTAAATTATTTTTATTTACTTTGGAAAAGTCTTTGTTCTCGATCAAAGCGATGACCACAAATGCGGTGAGAGAATAAACGTTCTTGATATCGACACCCTTGTAATAAGTAAAAAAAACAAATTATGAAAGAGGTCAAGAATTTATCTTCAAACTTGAATAGAATCGAGTAGGAGAGCTCCATCTTCCAAGAATTCTCCTGAGGGTCCCTGCTTGGTGGTCAGCCAGTTAATGGCGCCAATAATAACCTTCTGATCGATGTATATGAAAGGAGTCGCCTGCTTGAATAACTTGACCACGAAAGCCGTTAGCCTTTTTGATATAAATAATTTTAAAGGATAAGTTGTGTTATATTAAGAGAATAATAATAAAAATTTTTTTTACAAAGTTCAACGTAAAATTTTTGTGAAATAAACAAATGAATCAACATATTAAAAAAAAATAAAATGCATAACCAGACGATTTTAAGACACAAAACTATCAATTTATTTAAATTATATTGATGTTCATTTTTAATAAGTGAAGCAATTTAATCGATAGCCCTGTAGACAGCAACTCTGTTACTCACTCAAATGAATCACATGACTAAATATGGGAAAATTGTAAATCAAACTAATACATACATTTTCACGGATGTTTGTTTATTTTATATTTTTTTTGTTAGAAAAAAAAAATCTTTAAACCATGTGCTAGGCGCGTTGTGCAGTGTTGGCGGTAGAGCTGGAATCGGAGGAAGCGTGGGAGGCAGCACGATTAGCGGAAATGTCGCGAAGGAACCATCTGGTCGTTGGAAACTTAACTCTACTACGTATCCTAGATTTATACGGAAATTTTGTACTTTAAAAAACACATGTTTTGTTTCACTTAGATAACCATTTAACGTGCATGGCCATTCAGTACATCTTTTACCCCATAAATAATAATTTTTGTGTAAAACTCAAATAATCTTTAAAAATATGTAACCTACTAATCAAAAGACCTACAAAATTTTAATAGGCGCGAAACTCACCAATGAAATATCAAAATTTACGGCGCGGGATTAAAGCATTTCAAAAGTTCTGATTCCCCCCCCCCCCTTTTTAGAAAAGATTTTGGCTCCTCGAAAATTTCGTTGAGAGGGATAAAAAAAAATATTGAACCTTTCTGCATATTGATGATAGCTTTTAGCCTGAAAGAATCCTCTAGTTGTTGAGTGGCTAGCAGGTACTTGTACGTATATATCAGGGGTCCGAAGTATATCAAGTTTTGCTCCGCACAGCCCGTGGGAAGAAATTGTAGAAACTTATCATCGGTCAGTCCCGTTATAACCGGTCCCAGTATATCCCCTTTGTTTTTTTTGGTGATATTTAATAAAATTGATCGGGGTTTTTTTTTTATAGTGTCCAGTAAATCGATAAATCTTCTACGGATCATTTTTGGAATTTAAGAAATAGTAATATAGATTTGTATAAGAATTGCCGCCAAAAATTAAAACCTGTAACTGCGACATCAATATTTAAAGATCCCGGTATGACTCCCGGAGGAAATAGAAGCGGATAGACCTGGGAAAAAACGAGGGTTTCTTTTCTGCCGCAAGGAATGAATTGCTTCAGATCTATGAACAGCGTGTCTGTAACAGTGACCGGCAAGCCTCCAGCCTTTTTTTTCAAATTAAAATAAAAAAAAAATAGACGAAGTTTAAGAATAAAAGAATTTTTTTTTAAAAAAAAAGGACGAAAAAATAAATAAATGGAAGAACTAACCCTGACTTCGAAGACTTTAATGGACGAATCGGAGTACGGAATGGATTGAGAATCAATGATAAGTTCTATCGATCCAAGCACTATTGGTTTAATCGGAAATAGAATAACTCCCGATCCGCCAGGTCTAATCTAAAGATTCCAAGAAAATATAAGTAAATATACTAAGTATATGTAAGGGTCAATAATTAGATTTTCCAAAAATTTACACTTTCTTAGTTGTCCTTACTTATAAAAGTGAAAATAAAAAGATCAGAGGTTTACTGCTGGTATCAATCCTTTCCTAATCCCTGGTCTAGTGGATCCATCTTTGAGTATGTGCAAAAATTGAGGAGATTCCCGAATTTCAACCAATACCTTTACAACGGGCACCAAATCAAAACAATAAAATAATGTAGATTTGTGGATGTTTAATTACTAGTGTTATTTAAAGTATGGGTAATGAGTTAATTTTTGGGCGAAAAATATAATTGTAACAGTCACTTTTTAAAAAATAAAATGTAACGAATAACTTTGGCCAAGTTACAATATTAAAGAGTCTAATTATAACTTGGCACTTTTCAAAATATAATATTTAAAATAACATTAGTAATTAATTTGAAAATTGTTTTTAGATGACATATTTTAAAAAATAAATAATTAATACCGATTTTAATGGGACGTCCCCATAAAAGAAAACGACAACTTGAATGACAACGACTTCCCCTAGAATGACAAAGGTGGGTGCCTTGACGAACGTGAAGAAGGGCACAAATACTCTCAACTAAAAAAAATTAAGTAGAAGATTTAAAAAATAAAAAATTCACGGGTATCGATATTTTAACTTCCGATAGTTGAGAACGGAGGTTCCGTTTCCGGTTCCTAGATTAGACCCGGTTCGGATTTTTCCGGTTTTCAAATCTTATCATAAAAAAAAATATGTTACCATTCGTATAAAAACCTAGCGGAAGCAAATAATGGAATATTTTTTTTAGTATATCTCAATAGCAACTATTTCCGATTGAGCTGCAAAAATAAATCTTCTAAGAACAAAATAAAATACCCTCCCTCCCCTTCCACCCAAAAACTCTGACAAACGAAATCGCCCTTATTAAAAAAAAATACAATTCGAACTGGGCTCGATCAAATGTCATCAGTCAAACATCACAGGTATTATTCGATCTCGAGATAACGAACCAAATAATTTCAAAAACGTTGATTTCGACTATTCGTTTATGAATTAAGTCTAGTTATTATTAATTAAAGTTGGGAATTATTAATGATTAGGATGAGTTTAAGTCAATGACATTTGATTATTAATAAATTCGAAAGCGTTGTTGAATGCAAATCAGCTGTGGACAAGCCATTTTGGTAACCCATATAGTAATTATTTTCATGTTTAAATACTAGTATTGAATTGATAATTTGCGTTCCCCATTATCCCGATGATCAGGCGATTCTTTAATAAAGTTGGCGCAAGACATAGGGATAAATTGGCCTCTCGTTTAAAATGTTTAATAATGATATGGGTATTCAAAATGGTGTCTACAGCTGTTTTCATAGATGTACACCTTTAAGGAAATCATCGTAAGTCTAGGTATTATTATATGTCATTGGTTTAAGTTGCGTAATGAATTCAATACAATCTTTAAAAAATAATAAATATTTAATCTGAACCAATGTAGGAGCCGGCAAAATTCCTAAACCGTATTCAGGGTGGAGCGAAAAGACGCTGGTGACCCAATAGGTCAGGTAATCCGGGCTTATCTCTTTGATGGCGACTTCACCCTCTGGACTTCTAAAATAATTACATTTTTGAAAGAGCAAAAGTGGAAGAAAAAAAATCTCCCCAAGAAACATAGATAAAAAACACAAAAAACAGCTGATAAAACCGCTTTTTGGAATTTCAAAATAAAATCAAAAAATTTATTTTCCTCCAAAAAAATCGGAACTCGAATTAACTCTAAAAAAAATGAATATAAAAAAAATTAACAAACGTTGGCAGGCACTTCCATATCCAGGTGTCCGGGAAAAACTTTCTGATATACCCTAGTTCTTCTGTCAACCCTCCTTGACTTACGTAGGGGCTAAATGTGCAATCCCCGACGCATTTACCTTCTGGAAGCATGTTAGAACTTCTAGAAAAATCTATATCAGCATCGGTAAACACTTGAAGACCTAACAGAAAAAAAATATATATATACATTTTGTAGGAAGAAAAGGTATATATATATAATTTATTTTTTATAAACACTTTTAGAAACCATCTTCGTTAAATTAAAATTATATATTTTAAGAAACCCGATTGGTCGATTATGGTCAAAGTATCTCTCCCGCCAATCGTAACAGATACTTCGCCATTTTCCAAAACGTTGAAGCCACCCTCAGTTGTGTCGAATTGGGAAAGAGATAACAATACCTTATTTTTTTTATAGTTTATTTTTTTAAACACCTTTTTACAAACAAAAGTTTTAAAGAAACGCAAAATAAATAAACCGCCAATATATTGGCATGAAAAAGAAGTAGCATAAAAATGTATAACGTCGTAAGGCGTGACATCGTAGGCTCTGCTGTATATGACGACCCTTTTGTCCAAAGAAAGAACGCAAACCAAGGAATCGGGATTGGTATGGATGACGAGATCCGCCTCCGTGTGAGGTGGCACCACCGGCTTTGTGAAGGTGGCATCGACCTACGTTATTACGATTTTTTTTAAAAAAATTCCGAAATATAGAAGGGAAAACGATTATGGAAGGAAAACATATGATTACATTTTTTTCTAAACGGGTTTCAATCTGCATAAACTACCAACTAAGATTGGCTAGTTTTTCTGGTCACGTGATTAGCATTTTTTGAAAAAAAAAATCTGGGCAAACAACCATATGGTAATTCTAGAAGAGACATTTAGACGTGTTCAGAATCTTAAACTTGTTTGATTGGGCATTTTGAGACCACCAACCAAACAAGAAATTGATTTATGGGCAACTCATCGAACTCGGGGTAAAATGGACCGGGTCGGTCTCAGAAAATCAATTTCGATTAAGATCCCGTTATCAAAATATCCGCTAAATAGAGTTAATAGAGTTAAAAATTCCGACAGGCGTCCCATAATTACTTATATCCGGCCCGATAATAAATATCAATATTTAACTTGATTCCTGAAAATTCCCGTGACCTTGAAATTGAGGGCGTCAACGATTAGTTCCCTGTCCTTGATGTAAAAGGCTACCAATCTAGCCAAAGGGGCCATATCTGTAGTAAGCGCCACATAGAAAGAAACTATATTCCTTTCTCCTATCACTACATTCCCCGTGAATGTTATGGTGCCTCTGGATAACACCTAATCCCAAATTTGAAAAATAACGCAATTATTTTATTATTAATATTAGATATATATATATATGGGCCCGAATATCAAGCATCCCGGTGCCAGCTAATTTATCAAAAGATGATGGCCTAAGGACCAGATGGCTTAACTCCTGTTCCTTGATCTTTAGGGAGATCCTTAAATTTGGGACTTCACTGGGTCTTTTCACTTCCTAAAAAATTTAAATTCTGAACCGGTTGATATAGCTGAGGAAGAAAAAAATTAAACATTCCAAATTTAATCGTTATCTCTTCCCTTTGGACATATGTTTATTAGGGAACTTCCGTTTTTATAGAATGAGGTTTTTTTAGATTTAAGAAAAATCTTCAAAAAAAAATTAGGAACGCTTCACGATTTTGCGTGTCATCCTTGCGCAGGGGCCATGCTAATCTTCTCTGTATCGTTCCAATTTTATTATATGTACCGCCGAAGCAGTACAACTTAAAAATGGTTTTAGTTATGATTATATAAGGTGCAATTATTACTTAATTTGTGAATATGGTGTTTTATTAAACATATTATGTTTTTTATCTAATTTTATCTTTATGTTTAACGTTAGTGATGTATTTAATATAATTATATAGCTAAAGCCTTAAATTAAAAATTTAATTACCAAAATTTCGTATTCAAATTTATCATATTCCTTTCATTATCATACCTTAAAGTATTTAGCGCCATCTATTATATAATATTAATTTATTAATTTTTTTTATTGTAATTATTAATTTTTAAATTTATTCTATATCTTTTCTTAAAAAATGGAAATATAACATATTTTTAAATAACATCTACAAAATAACCAAGAAAATTATCAAGGTTATTATTGAACTTGTAAACGTATAGTGTATACTATATTTTTTTTCAATATTATAACAAAAAGCAAAATTAATGATTATTTATTTCTGTAGTTCAAGAGTTATGGATGGATCTTTAGGACTTGGAGGCACATAGATCCTACGTTCACCATAACATTTTTTTCACCTGTTTTAAAGAGCATAAATAAAACGTTCTATACATAATTTATTACTTTTTATTATTCAGTATTCCGATACTTTTTACAGATACGAAATTATTTGATACGAAAAGAAAGATTAAAAAAAATTATTCGTCAAAATAAATAACTTTTTCATTATTTTTAAAAAAATCTAAATTTAGTCCAAATTATTCTTCCATTTAGTTGTAATTGGAGTTGTTTTTTCTTTAATTTGTTGTAGTACAGTTTTTTTTACGCGTAATAATTTGGCCGTGTAACAACGGCGCAAGCATTTGACTTTGAATTGTAAAAGACTCAGGATGAGTCATTATCTTATTTTTATTTTGAAATTATTTGACCTTTTGTCATTTTTGGATTAATTGTCTTTAACAACCACTTCCGGACCTCAACCGACCTGATTCTATTCCCCTTCTCAGCTGGTCAGCATGCTTAACCCCAAATTTCCCATCCGAAAACTGCATTCTCGGATAAGCAATAGTTTCATAAAATAAAATAATTTTCAGATGACAACTAATACATTTTTAAAAAATCTTTTCGAATCATAAAATTAAATTTTTCAAAATTTAAAAATCTCAATTTATACCGGAAATGTGTTCCACAAGAATGTTCAAAGCAAAATTGTCTAGAATAGTGTTATTGAACGGCTCATTTTGAGCGAATTTTAATAAAAGGCAGGAAAGATATTATGGGAGCCTTAGAGAATTCGCTAAGGTTTGAACATCTGTTAACGATCTCGAGGCTTGGTCAATATTTTTCTGGGCTAAAATATTGAGTTAGCCGTTTTTATAAATCGGCTTAAATCGAACGATTTAACAACACTAGTTTTAAATTTATGTTTTGTGAGTACTTTTACCCAATTTGGACAAATCATGTTTTTATCTTCAAATTTTAAAAAATCGCTATTGATTAATTAATTAAAAATTGATAAAAATTCTGAGACTCCAAGGAATAGAAGAGGAGAGAAGAGAACAGAAGAGGCGAGAAGAGGAGAGAAGAGATATTAATTCTTATTGCTTTTTTTTGAGTATAAATATTTCATGCAGATCACTCAGATGCCATTTTTACCGGTGATGGACCAATATCACCCTTTTTAAGTCGACCCGAACAAATATCGCGGATATCGAATACCGATAACGTGAGTAAGGATTTAACTGTCGAAGATCGTCACATTAGGCCGGTTATTTTTGTTTCGGCATATTGAATCACATAAAATCGGGGCAAACTTCGGTCTCTAGACCGGTCCGAGTTAGGGATAAGACCTACCGACTAGATCGGACTCTAGACTCTCGTTGAATTAGTCAATTAAAATGTTCAATTAAAAAGTAATAATTCTAACGATGTAAAATATTTCGAAGATGGGGTCGGTTGCTCTGGCTTCGAATTCCGCTACTTCTCCGGCTTTGGGTTCAAAGGTTAACAGCGAAAGGGCTAAGAAGGAATTCGTATTCGATTGCTGAATGTTCTCGATTTTGCTTACGGCACCGATCTTGGATTTTATCAGCAGGGCCTTTTGACAAAAAAAAAATATAAAAAGGAACTCATATAAAAAGAAAAGAATAGATAAAAAGGAAAAAAGAAAGAAGAATTTAGAATGATGATTATGTTATATTTGTGTATCTTTACATTTATAGTAAGGGTGATAATATCGGGGGGTATAGTAATCTCGAACCGAACTATCCCATCGGCGTTTATCGGGTAAGATTTTTCGAAGAATGGCGGTGCCACGGAACTAGCCGTCGCCTTTACCACTATGTCCTCATCGTAGGCGGGAAGGGGTCTCCCATCTTGTTGAATCACTTTCACCTTTTATATATATAATGGTAATATTTAAATTCGTACCAACTCATTTTATTTTTGTCCCTCCGCTACCAAGAAAGAGAAGCCATTCCATTATTTTGAAATCTCTCTCATTATGCCAATTTTTCTTCCTACATAAATCCGGAATAACAAGTAGGGCATGTTTTATACATACATTGATGTCCGCCACATTGAAGGAATCTATACCAAGCTAAATACCATTTCACAGCCTACGACACTGTCCATTTAGAGCTGACTTTAAAACGCCTGTCACTTTAAATAAATGAATCCTCAATGTCATATGAGAATCGAACTATTGATTCCCAGCGCACAGGAACCAATAATTTTTCTCAAATTTTATATTCAAAATGTTAAAATGATTTCGATTTCATATTTTTTTTTACGTAGCCTATATAAGTTAACCCGGGCTTGAAGGAGGTGGGATTGCTGGAAGAAAACACGACTTTGAAAGGGAAAACGAAAAATTTGGTGGGCACAAAAGCGACGCTTTCGATCCGCGAGGCCTCGTCTATGATTGACACCTTGATGATTAGGACGCCGATTAACGGGGTGCTACAAAGCTTTTCTATTTCCGGGTATGGTATGTTAAATTCGAAATACCCTTCCTTTATATTTTTATATTTTTTTTTTGTATAGAGGATATTTATAATAAAATTGATTACGTCACAGTAATATGCTTTTTTTTTTATTGGTTGAGAGATATCTTCAATTTTTTTACATTTACATTCTAGGATTTGTAAAAAAAAAATCAATAATTTGGAGAAAATCAGCTGATTAAAAAAATTTGTATTTATTTTATTTATTAGAATACTGGCAGGGCAATATCTTGTTCGTAAGTTTTGAGAGAGCATTCGGGATTGTTCTCGAACGACACCTTTATATGTCCGGTTGAATGGACAGGTTCCCCAAACTTATAAATGGCTTCAATGACACCTGACACATCTTTTCCTACCACCTGGAACGGAACGATATCTATCTTAATCTCGAATATCGGCAACTCTTAAAGATTATAAATATTTGTCATATATGAGTGACACCTATAGACTATATAGACACTAGCATATTAATACCATATTTTTCTTCTTCTATAGATGTACTGTCCTTTTTTTTAAAAAATATAACCACAAAAAAACCCCTTATAATTTTACCTCATTGTTCAATTTAGAAAAGGATATGTTAATTTTCTTACGATCGTCACTAATGTCGAATGGTTTAATAATTTCGCGTTCCCCCTGTTTTAAAAAATAAATAAAATTTAAAATATCATATTTATTTAATTAAATTGGTAAAAAACCTAGAAGATTCTTTTTTTTAGCATTATTTTTCCCCATCCCAAATGACCCAAGGAACCCCAATTTAGAGCGCAGAACAAACAAATTACAGAACTAACCATACAACCCTGGGTTTATTTAGACCAGGACTGGTTTGGACCTATTTAAGATGACCTTTTTCTTTTACGATTTCGTTTTTCGTTTTAAAATTTTTTTTTCAAGAGTAGAGTTCTAAATTTTCCATCATCCCTTGATTTGGGCTCACAGGTCCGCAAAAAAAACTGGGGCTGCTGGATTCATAGCTGGTTCTAATCTAAACATGATTTGACAGCTGATCGCTTTACAAAATCTGTTTTGTAGGAAGACATTTTTATTTAATTTATTAATATTAAATAGATCTCAATTAACATGAATTTTGAAATGGCTCAGCTGTTAAATAGTATAGGATCGGATGCCCCCTAAAAAATCCAACCTAAACCATTTTTGCCATTATCACCTAGGGGCAAGGGCCTGCTGTCTAAGATATTTTCCATTAATAAGTCTACCTCCAAAAAATGATCGCTTAGGAAGTAGAATAAATTGGCTGTAGACATCAGAACTAAGTATGAATGTTTCTTTAGAAAACTGGGGAAAAACTTGACTTTATCGCAGAAGTTGGTGATTCCTGGTTCCAATCTAAATAATTCTGACATCGGTTTTTCGATTTTTCAAAGATTTATATAAGAGGTTGCAGTTCTAAGATTTTAGTCCTGTTCCTAGGTATCCTGTTCTAGAAAAACGTTGTTTAAAGCAAATAGGAAGAAAAAAAAATCAAAATATTTTAAACTACTAAATAAAAACATTTGTAAATTCCGAAATTTTTAGATCCTCAAACAAAATAAAATATTGAGCCAGAAAAATCTACTAAAGAATATTAAAGTTGTAGGTTTAGGATTTGATTGGTTTCTGACAGTTTCCTGGTTTTCTGGTCACGATAATAAAATGTGCTTTATATCACGAGGGCAGCTGATCAAGTTTATAATTACTTTATTCTTTATATTACGAGAGCAAACTAACAGCTGATCAAGTTTATATATATTAATTATTCTTTATATCACGAGATAACTAACAGCTGATCAAGTTTATATATATATATTAATTATGCTTAGTATCACGAGAACACACTAACAGCTGATCAAGATTATATATATATATTAATTAGACTTTATATCCACGAGAGCAAACTAACAGCTGATCAAGTTTAAAACTCAATTAACCTTAAATCCGCGTCGCATAGCGCTCGGTGTATATATTTTATACCATATAATATATTTTTTTTTAAACTAAGTTAAGACAATTTTTTTTTAAAAATAATTTTTAAATATCCGGGCCGGGCCGTTTATTCTAAAAAACCAAATATTTTAAACCGACATTAGGCTATAAAAATTAGGAATGCAATTTGAAAAAAAACCCTGATTGGGCGTCGTTCAATGGTATCTCTGCTTGTCTCCGATGAATTTCTATACGAAATATAGTGAGATTGACAGAGTCATCAAAAGTTTTGTTAAAACCAATAGCTATGAAGTATAGTTATAAAACCAAATTATTCAAACATTACGCTAAGCAGATAAGCTTATGGCCCTAACTTTCAAATCTGGTTAAACGACACAATAAAAACGTATTATTTGTACATACAATCATTTATAGAGTAAATATTTTTACCTTTATGAAAGCGTGGACGCTCCATTTCCCTGATATGGGATGCGAACCGAGAGCGAATTCCTTGCTAATCAGACCTTTAAATATATATTTTTTTTAAAAAAAAATTTAAATAAGATAAATTTGAAAATATTCGTCCTCATCTAAATTTCTTGCCTTTTTTTTAAAATTTTTCGACCCGGTCCGGGTTTTATATTTTTAGGACCGGGCCCGTGTATCCGGGACAGGCCGGGTCTAGGGGCCCTGCCTGCAGGTCTATGATTTATAGTTAGAACATATTCTATCTTTTATAAATATACATTAAATAATACAAACCTACACCAACACTTTGATCTAACCATTGGACTATCCTATGTTTGCGGGAATCTTCTATGAATATGTTAACGAGACCCTTGAAAGAAGTTAAGTCGGGCAAGACCGCTATAACCCTTATCGAAACTAAGGTATACATAATAAAATATAGATCGTTCTGAGAGCTGTCAATTATTCCGCGTTTCGGGAGCAATGAAGGTATAATAATACCTAGACTGACGATGCATTCAATAATAATGCCTTTCGAAAGCGTCGTTGAATGCAAATCAGCTGTGGACCCGCCATTTTGGTAACCCATATAGTAATTATTCTCATGTTAAAAAACTACTATTAAATATCGATAAATGGCCTTCCTATTATCTCGATGATCAGGCAATTCTTTAAATAAAGTTTGCGTCAGGCATTTTAAAATTTTTAAGAATGATATGGGTAATGGCGTCCTCAGCTGTTTTCAATGCCGTACACTTTTAATGAATGCATGGTATTATTGTCATTGCTTGGAAGATAATTATTTTCCTAAATTCGGCGAAAGAAAAATTTTTTTTAGGTTCATTGTTTAGAACTTAGTATAAAAATAGTTAATAAATAAAACCCCTAATTTTTTTTTGTTTCGTAGAATATTGCGAAATGAATATAGAATATTATTAGAAAATGATAAATTTATCTCACCAATATCGTCGCCCCTGTAGAGCGGTCTGTCCAATTGAATGAATAAACTGGCGGTGTTTCGACTCAGTAACAATCTGCGCTTTTCTAGGATGTCGTAAGAAACTTTGGGACCGACGACTGTCAACTTGAGATCGTAATAGATACCCGGGTCTAACACGGTTGGTATCTTTATATCCATCCATCCATTTATCCAAAATGAGCGTTTTGAGAAAAAAAGAATATATTTTTTTTCTATATAATCTGAGCACAGGGCAAACGTAGTACTCATATGGGCCAATTTTTTTTATATTCTTCGACTGATAATTATAGTGTTCTATGTATACTTATTATTTTATTTTTTTTTGATTAAAATCGATTCTTAAAAAACATGTTTAAAATAATTAATATTAAGATTAATCTTTTCATTTTTTAAAAAATCATTTTTATGGTGTGTGATCTCCTAGCTAAGATAACAAGAAACTATATGAAAAATAACAACAAAAAATATGAAATAAATGTCATTGTATTGTTAGGATAGGAAACTTAGCTAGTTTTTATGGGGAATCCCCGCTACTAACGCTGAATGTCTAATTCTAAAGGATCTAACTGGCGCCCTTAAAATTCTTTGGAGAACTAAAGTAACACTTTGGTAGAGAATTAACATTGGGATTAAAATGTATAAAAAAAATGTGAAGGATCGCGTAACAGATTTTTGACTTTTACAGGCTGTCCATCGAATCATTATCGAAAACTTCTATTATTTAGGGTAAAATTTATACTAAAATTTTTTGACTTTTCTGGGCTGTCAATCTCGAATCGATTATCGAAAATTTCTATTATTTAAGGTAAAATTTATACAAAATCAATCCAAATCAGATTTCGAACGAATTAGTTAATCCTATAATATGACAAATGTCAATAATAAAACATATGGGTAGAATTTTTTTTTTTTAAAAATAGAAATTTATTAAAAAATTTTTTTTACCGCTAAATCCGTCACCGTCAACGTTCCTTGAGGTTTAATATATATATATAAAAATAAATGAATAATTACAATATTAATAGATGGAGCTAATTAACTTTAATTTTTATCTAAATTTTTTTTGTGGAATAATAATTTATCAAAAGGGTTTTTTTTACCGGGTTCGTAAAATTGTTCGACCCTAGTAAGCGCGATATCCGTTGCGTCGACTAGTTCGAAAGTAAATTTGCTTTCTATCCAATCGGGGTTGAATATTATGACCGATATCCTAAAAGGCGTACCGGGCCTAAACACTTTAGGCGCGAACGCTACGTAATCGTTCTTAGTTGTACCGAATATTTCTTCCGCGCTGTAAAGGCGAGAGAGGTGAAAAAAAAAGGAAATTTATATTTTTTTAATCTAAAATTGCGAAGTACCTTCTTGGTTCCTGCGCGAATGTCGAATGAACGATACAGAACCAAAGGAATGCACCATACTTCAGATACATCTTTGATTTAATAGATTATTAAAATATATATATTTTTCTTTTGAATTCTAAAAAATTTTAATAAGAAACTTTTATTTAAAAATTTTTTTTAATGTTAAACAACATATGACCAAGATGAATGAATTAAGTCATTTTTAAGAATAAACAACAAACAAACAAAAAAAAAACAATTTAAATTACATTTACAAGAAAGAAAAATCAACAAAATTTAATTTAATTGAATTGAATTGTGACAAAAAAAAATAAATATTAAATTAAATTTACTTTTCTCTGAGCGTTTTATCCTTGTTTGGACGTATTAACTTATTTAAGTGCAAATAAAGTGGCAAAAAAATATAAATAAAAAATAGAGAAGAATTTAAAATACAAGTTTTGCGGATAAAAAAAGAAGAAAAAAAAATGACGAAATTACAAATAGAAAATGAAGGAAAATAATTAAAAAAAAATGTTTTCTTTATTAATAGCAGAGACCTGCAGAGGTACCAGTTATACGGCCCGGTCAGGCCGGGCCCGGATTTTTAAAAATATATTTTATTTATTTGTGATTTTTTATAGCTAATTAATGGCGTCTTCAAATATTTGTTTTAACATAAGTCCCGGCCCGGCCCGGCCCGGCCCGGGTATATTTGGAAAAATTTTCAGTCCCGGCTCCGGGTTTATTTAAAAAAATTAAAATCCGGGGGCCGAGCCTGTAGGTATCCGATTAATACTAATAATATAGATACCGATCAGATAATAAGGATAATAAAATAATTTAATTTCAATGTTTATAGGCGTAGAAAAAAATAATATTTTTCATATTTTTATTAAGGATAAAATATTCAATATTCTATATAAAATGAGATCATACAGCAGGAGAAGCAAGATAGGTTAGGGTTAGAGTTAGGGTTAGGGGAAGGTTGCATCATGGATCCTTGCCAGAATTATGGTGCCGCTCAGCCTTGGTTTTCTACCAGCTTAAATGAAAATAGCTAAAAAAAAAGTTATTCCTGGAGGAGTGTTTTTGAATGTAAATAACTTTAAAATGTAAGCCTATCCTCCAATCTAAACACGGTTTTTTTCACTCATAGTTATAAATTTTTAAACACCAAAAATTTAACAATATTTAAAACAGCTCAGGACTTTATAAACTTTTATAATCATTCTCGTAAAATCGAATATAATTTTCGACTCTTAGTTTTCAAGATATCAGCTGCTCTTGTTTCTCGGTCTAGACGCCCTTATTCGAACCTTCTTTCGAGCCGAATATTCTTGGAAAATCTCAAAATGATAATAATCGATCCAATTACCGCTAAGCAAATCTTTCGAAGCTATCACCAGTATCTATTTAGATACCTTAGTTGGTGGGCGAACACGACTCTCAGCCTATAATAAGATTATTAATACTTTATCACACTCCCCCCCCCCTCACTCAACTATCCCAAATTTTTTTTTAAAATATCGAATCATAATCAGGGACCCGGCACAATGAACTTCCGTTTCCTGCCCAAAAAATAAAATTGTTCCAGTTTCGTTCCAGCTTTTTGAAAATATATATTTTGTTTATTTAATCTACACATTTTAATTAATCTTTATTTAATGATTAAATGAAATCGATTATCGCATCTCAAACCGATTATACATTTTCTAAGGCCGCATTCATAGTGAGTCCGATCAGACACGATTTAACAGCTGATCGATTTTTAAAATCTGTTTTAATGAGTTCAAATTTTTTTTTAAAAAAATAATATTAATTTTATCTTTAATTCTACGCATGATAATAACCTAAGAAATATTGGGGTTTTAGTAAAGAAAAATTGATTCTCATAAACCGATTTTTAAAATCGATCAGCTGTTAAACCGTGTCTGATCGGATCCCCTATGAATGCGGCCTAAAAGATCCATCACCGAGTCTCAAAACAATGGTCCAACACTTAGAACCTGCCTACATGGAGTTTGCTGATACCATTTAGGCTAATTCCTAGTGGACATGATTTTTTTTATTTTATTGCAATTCCCAGTGTTCTATAAAAAAAAGTTTTTGATTTACTACTTTGCTAATTGTTATGTACTTTGTTAGTATTTTTGAATATAATTTAACGTGAATTATTGATTATTAAATCATAAAAGACAATAGAAAAGGGAAACGACTTAATATATGCACCTGTTAGATTGATTAAAATAAAAAAATTTAATTTATAGAAATTAACGATAAGAAATTTGTATATATTTTTAAAAACGTTCCGGCAAGGTTCCGGAAAATACACGTTCCGGTTGCGTTCGCGTAAACTTACTCAACGTTTCGTTCCCGTGTCCCTGATTCTTAGTTGAAATTTTTGAGAATCCTTCTAAGATTCTGAAGCGAAATTGTCATCTGGAAAATATTCCCCATAAAAAGAAAGTAGCAAACAACTTTTATAAAAATTTGTTTAGCCCCCCCCCCCCCCCCAACCCTCTCTTTCTCTTTATTTGCCGAAAATTTTCACGGCTATTGAGCTAGAAGATGAGACATCTGAACTGAATATCTCTAAGAGCGATGACTGGAAGTCCAGTAAATTTATTTTATCTAGACCGACTTTGGATGAACTGTGATAAGACCTGACGACACTCAGTAATAATTTCTCACTAAAATGAGAGTTTTAAAAATCTTATAATAAAGTATATTATATATTTGCATTAAAGATTTCTCAATTTATCTTTCGTTATTTTTCTTAGAACCTCATAATATTTTTTTCTAGACGAAGAAGTTCAAGGATTGATTTTCAGGGAATCACGGATGAAAATTTTACTAAAAAATCAAATTTTATAATGTTCATTTTTTTTAAAATTTTAGCATTAATTTTTAATTACATTGGTTTTGTTGAAAGTTTATATAAAAAAATATATAGCTATTAAGTTATTAAATTCTACAAAAGTTTTTTTTAATGGATGGCATTAATATCTGTCAACTATGGATGGTTGATTAGAACTTATATTACCAATCATGGTATAATTTTTGTCCTCAAAAATACATACCTTCTGAACCTTCTTCGAATATAATGATTGATCAATGTCATCACCCTTTATCATTTCCTTATTACAAATTAGTAGACCCTTCAAGTGTTTTCCTTAACAATAAATCGTTTCTATATAATAAATTTAAGATCTATCCCAATTATTCTATGACACTCACATTGGTGATTATTAGTTTCCTGGGAATCCTGCCGAATGGTTATGTGCCGATGGCTATCAGAGAAGCAAACTTAAGATAGAATGGCTTATACCGGAAGCCGCCCTTACATGTATAAACAATGATCATAACCAAGGTAATTAGAAGTCCAACTTTATTGAAAGAGTTTACTAATGACTTATCTTATAACGTATTTGGGTAGTAGAAGGACCATCAAAGTTGAGAATATAGATATCGAAAATAAAAGGTATTCATCCTATCATTTCCTGCAAATTCTGTGCTGGCTCAGTATAATGATCTCGTTTTTCCAGATCAATTATTTGTGTTCCATTAACATTTATTGCAAATACAAGAGTTACCTAATATTACCTACTCTCAAAAAGGTGACTACATGTGTAAAGGCCCTTTTTGTAATGGATAGATTTATTCTGCTTAAGGATATGATATCCATTATACTCATCAGAGTAAGCAAGTATACCGTTTGTTGTCCTATATAATTGTGATTGTCATATTAACAATGCAGATACCCATTAATAATTTTAAGAAATGTGTGCACACCTACCAATGTGAGATCTTTTTTTGTATCAACTATGCTTTGGGGTCCTTAAAAGAGTCTTTAACCTTCATCCTTACTTGAAATCTTATTATGTCATTTTATGAGTCGGGCTTCGTCATAACAAATATTTGCTTAGTAATTTTACTTATTCTACTGGATGATTCAGGAATTGCAGACTAACATATACCAAAGAGCCAAGACCCGTATCCTATCGGTAGAAGTGCAAATGCTCTGACTCGATAGTTTTGGATGTCGGCTAAATAACAAATTTAGGCCATCACAAATTATCGCCCAGACCTAACCCGCTTACATATTTAAAGGATATTGGTTTTAATCTGAAAATCATGGATAAAACTTTCGCATCTAATCCAAGATCAATTCTATAAGGATGTTAAGGAAAAAGGTGTTCGAGAATCGTCGTTCCAAATAAATTCATTTGGCATCAGGCGTATATTTACGCTTGGGAAGTTATTCACTCTAAACTTGATTTTTTTTATTATCGTCATTTCCCATCTTCATTAGCCAGATAATCTTGAGGGGTGAGATTATTGGTTTATACCAAATGCCAGTCATCCGAGAAATCTAGTATGATAATGGATCGAAAAGTTTACATTGGCCCATATAGGCGCCTCCCATCTTTGTTTACGCATTCTTAGTCGAAAACACTAGACGACATATCTTGACAAGGCTCAAATTAATATTTAATAGGAATTAATATTTTTCAATATCGCAATTATTAAATATATTCTACCCTATAACCAATATTTTGTTGAATACGTTTTCCCAACATTATCGCAATCAATTTATAACTTATTCATTTTGTTAATATGAGAGGTTAACTTTTTATAAAAATTTTAAAATTAAATTTTAAGGGGGTGGTGTGGCCTGGTTCAATTTGGTTACTTAAGCAACCTAAAAAGTAAGACCCAAAACACTTAAAACAAACCCTTCATTATTTTTTTAAATATCCCTAATTCCTATTTTACGATGCGATTATCGTTGGCGACCAGTTAAAAAATAAAAGCTATTAAATAATTTTCCTTAACCGGTTTAACACAGCTTAGTTTTTTTTATATTTTTATAATTACATATATTAGATATATGGTGCGCACAAATTGATCGTTTCGAATGTCGGGTTGCCAAGTAGTGTTGCTAAACGGCTCAATTCGAGCCGGTTTTTAAAAACGGCCAACTCTTGAAGATTTTGCTCAAAGATGGCACATAGGATTGAACATCTATTGGCGATATCTCGATGCCTAGGCAATATTTTGCTAGATATAATGTTGAGTTAGCGGTTTTTAAAATCGGTTCAAATCGAGCCGGTTAACAACACTAAGTTGCAAGCGATAATAGTGCATTTCAAATGGCCTCGTGCTAATTGGATGAAATTTATACTTTTTTTTTTCATTCTTCACTTCGTAATATCCAGAGTTGTTAAAAGATACTTTTTAAATGGATCTAGATACCGATACAACGTCTAAAATAATATCTAGATACAGATTATGTAATCAAAAATCTATCTTGATACAGATACCACATTTTTATATCTAGATACAGGATTAACAACTCTGGTAATATCGTACAAAAATGTAACACGAATAAATTTACCTTATAATCCTAAAAAAAAAGGAATATTTGGAAATTAAACGAAATAAGAACGCAGACGATAACATAATTTTTAGAAGATTTAAAATTTTGAATCCACGATATTAATAAAAAAAAGGCAACCTCAAATTTAAACAAGGGATGTGCGTGAATGCTTAATTTGTGTGCACTAATATGAATATTTAGACACAAAAAAAAACAGAGTCTTGTTCCATCATTTTAAAAAACGGATTCAGGATTTGGGGAACCTGTAGAAATATTGATTGACACTATATTAATGAAATAACGTGACTTTTTTTCTCTCTTTCAATAATTCATCTTTACAAAATCAATTTTTTTTTAAATATTATTTCACGGTAATTTAACACCAAATAATTTGAAAAATAACCATTTTTCCTTGGGGATTTGTTTTTATTTAATATTTATGAAAGTGATTTTAATATTTTTGCGACTTATCTATTATCCTTTTCTTTTAGCTAGAGTAGAAGAGATTTTTTATAATATAAATAATTAGGTATTTTGTTTTAAAAATATACGGTGGCTGAGTTGAACTAAGATATATATATATACATTATTATATAATATATAAATGTCAGAATCTTATTGAATTAACAATATGGTCTATTTCGTCAATAAAATCACTTTTACGCATTTTGTGTGTGTGTCTTTCCATATATAATTTTCTTATTATTTTTAATCAAACATTTGATACAAATCATTACAAAAACCTTCAAAAGCTGAAAAAGGCCACAACTGGAACAGGTTAACTTTTAGCAACTAAACCGAACTCGCAGCCTTTACTGCTAGGACTCCTGATTGGATGTTATGACACTATTTAGGAAATTACTAAAAATGATATCCTTTTTTTTTTATATATAAAACAAGAGAAAGTCAATCATTTCACATCAATACGTAATATTTGTTTTTTTTATTAAAAATAAATAAATATACAAGCAAACTATAATATTTACAACGAGTTATTATTTACCGTAAACAAAAAAAAAACAAATTTTTAGATAATATATAAAGTAAGTATCTTTTACGGACTATTTCTATTTTGGCTTGAGGGTGGGTAAAATTATGTTTCCTTCCAAAAGATCGCGTCGTTGGAGGGAGTCTAAATACTGGATCTAATTTAAAATAAGGCGGGAAAAAAAAATATTTATATGCATTTACATTTATTTTTTTTCTTTCGTTCTTTCTTACTTGGTATCCCCTCAAAAAAAAACAAGGAAAAACTTAGCATAGAGTAAAAAAATAATCTAAATTAAAAAAATGTTTCAGTTACGCTTCGACGGACATAATCTATCAAGATGACCATTCTCTTGGTGGGGTCTTGTAAATTTAGGTCTCGAAAACTCGGGTTTAACGACGTGGCCACTTCTATCCTAGCTACACAAAAAAAAGAGGTTTTATATAAAGTATTTACATAATAATAAGAATTAAAACTTGTATAGTAGTTTGGGGGTTAAATTCAATGACATATAATAATACCTAGACTGACGATTCATTCATTAAAAGTGTACATCAATACAAATCAGCTAGAGACGCCATCTTGGTTACTGTAATAAATATTAAAATTTTAAACGAGAGCCTAATTTTATATTATATCTGATGCAAACTTTATTAAAGAATTGCCTGATCATCGAGATAATAAGAAAGTAAGTTATCAATTTAATTTTAGTTTTTAACATGAAAATAATTATTATAAAGGTTACCAAAATGGCGGGTCCAGCTGATTTGCTTTTAACGACGCTTAAAAATGCATTTTAATGAATGAATCGTCAGTCTAGGTATTATTATATGTCATTGGTTAAATTACAATAATACATAATTCCTTTCATCTCTTATAACTTTAAAACCTTCAATCTAATTGTTGCATGTGCGCTATTAGATTATTAAATACTTAAATAATTTATATTTAAAAATTCAGTTGTATATCTTAAGGCAACAAAATACATATACATAAATAAATATATATTTTCATTTGACAATTACTTGTTTTTCTTATATGATAAATAACTTGTATTTCTTTCTTTTTAAATTATATAAAATAAAATACCAATTTACTATAACAATCATTCTAGATTAAATATTCAAGCCTTATAAATTCTCTTTCATTAGCCTTTATTACATCCCGTGCGACCGTTCTAATAACCATTCTACTTTAAATATTCAAGCCTTATAATTATCATTCTCATTACTAATTATAATTAAAAAAAATAATAAATGATTACATTTCAAAATTTCAATAATTTTAAATCCGCAAGGTGGCGTATTATTTATAAACAATTTTTTAACGTGAAAATAATATAATTGAAATTTAAAATGTAATTATAATTATTTTTAATATAATTACATTGAAGGATTTTAAGCTATTTTTTTTTTTACGAGATACAATCTAAATTTTTTTGATTTTTATAAAGTTTATTTTAGTCAATTAATAGAATACATGTATACAAATTTTTTTTCCTTAGCATTTGCAGAAGCTTAGTCTAACAAACCCGTCTATTTGGCAATAGTATATTCAGATATTTTTTTAAAAAAATTTATACAACTGATTTACGTCCATTGACGGTAATACGAAGTAAATATAAATTTGGTTATAATATTTTAAAACGCTTTTTTTTGAGTCGATGATGAAAATGAATCATTTATTTGCTTATGAGGGGAGGGCAGGGCGTAATGCGTTACGTTTTATTTTGCAGATGGTTGGGTAAAGGAGGGAGGCAAATGGACTCATTATTTTTACGAGCCCCAACGGGAGAGTTAAGTTTTCCTCGTGAGAGAACTTAAAAAATTAGAAAATCGAATTAAGAATAGGAAAAAAAAAAAAATTAGAATCAAAAAGTATACAAAATATTTTTACGGGCCGTACAAAAAACATTTTTGGACCGGACCCAAAAGGGGAAGCGGCGAGCTGATCCACCAGGGATTAAATGTATTAATTAAAAAAATATATACATAATTTAAAGTAATCTACCCACAAATTATGATTGAACACTAAATATGAATGGTCTTCTTAATTCACGATAAATTATTCTTTTACTTTTATCGCGAATTAGGTCTCTTTTAAAAATCATTTCACGGCATTACCACTGGTTTTTTTTGTTTTGTTTTGTTAAGTGTGTAACAATTTGGTACAAGCGAATAGCGCCATCCGAGAAAAGGCGGAAAAGTGTTTATATTCAGCCGAATCCTAAATTCCAATTATACCTAAAAACATTTTTTTAACAGTCGATAAAAATCTAGAACTGAGTTGATCCTCAGATTTTAAGAGGTGATATTCACAACAAACCCGACCCGATATTTAGATTAATTTTTATTTATTATCTATCTTCGAATAAAAAAAATTATCATCTATCCCCCAATAAAGATCATTGATCTTCAACCGATTCTGCGACTTGCAATATCCTTAAAATTCCATTCCTCATGGCAAAAAACGAATCAAAAAATATCACATTTTTTGGCAACTTTTTCTAAATTTTGGTTCATTTACTGTTATTTAGATTTTTTTAAAAAAATGGCAAATATTGACCTCGATTGGAAATAATCTTCTTCTCCGTTTTATGACGATTTGCGGGTTAACCCAGTATGGTCAGTTTACCCTCTGATCTTAATTCTACATTTGACGGATCTGAGCATTAATATTTGTTCTCATATCCACCGCTATCACCTTTGTTCACGTCATCTTGGGCCTTCCCCTAGATCTTGATCCTCCTACTTCCAAGGCGCATCAATTTATCTTCCACACGCACAAACCATCTTAGTCTATTTCTTCGCATTACCCTTCCAATCACTTCTATTCCCCATCCTAGCTTGCAATTCCTTACTAGTTTTTCTCTCTCTCAACATCCATCTAATCATCATCATCATCTCTGTTATTTCCAATTTGGATTCGTGGACCGCTTTCATTGCCCACCGCCATAAACTAATCAACTCATAAAACAGTTTTCGTAAACTATCCCCTTTAACTTCAGAGAAACTTTTTTATTTGTAAGTATAGACGACATCTCTCCGAACTTCTTCCAAGCTTGTCTGATCCTTGCAACAATGGCAGAATCTACACCACCATCTACGTTTAGCATATCACCCAAATAACAAAACTTGTTCACTTTTTTTAAGGTTAACCCATTGCCAATATCCAGACCACCATTTTCTACGTTATCATTATTATTATGTATCCCTTTCATGCATGTTCTACATGCTAACATCAAACTTCCTTTTTTTTCAGCTACATCTATAATGTACCAATTTCTGGAATCTGGTGCATTGGATTTTTCTATTAACTCCTTTCCCACATACACCACAAGGCCACTTACCGGATTCCTCCATCTTTAGATTTTCACCACCAATTACCACCTTTGACATTGATGCATTCATTTTCAGGTCCCTTGCTTCCATAGCCATCTTCCATCTACTAATTTTATCCCTCAATTCTTCCTTACTGTTTGCCATTATACAAAGTCATCTGCATATAATAGTTCCTACGAGTTTCTTTAGCCACCACTTCCATCGATTACTAAGATAAATAATAATGGACTCAGCACAGATCCCTGTGAAGTCTTCAAAGTATGGTTATATGATTAGTTTATGGTAGGTTTAAATAGAGGTTCGCGCTAGGTTTAAAATTTTGAAAAGGGGTTTTTTTGGCCCTCTTGTAATAATAGAAATAAATTAGTCTCATTCTAAGCTTTAAAAAAAAAATGTCAAAACAGCCCATAAAAAAATATTTTGCAAAAATTATTGAACCCATCTTGAATGACCTATAGATACGTGTATGTATCACCAAAAGTTTTTAATATATTGATTTGATATAATTTAATAAAATTTTTATTAAACAAAAGCAAAAGGACATCATTATAAAACAAAAACAAAAAGGGTAGTGGGTAAGATAGAAGGTGACTTCATTAACTTTAAAAGGACATTTTATTTAGACTAAAATGCCTTATACAACATCGGAGAACTAGGAAATACCATATTTTTACTAAATTTTATATAGAATTTTACATGAATAAATTGTCCTGAAATACTAGGTTGATTTAAATTTTATAATTATTTGTTTTAAAGTTATGATAAAATATGTGATATGTAGAGCAAGCAAAATAGGATTAGTGATATCGGTTATTTGGCCGATATCAATATAATATCTGCAATATCGTATCGCATTAACCCCCTAAATCGGTACACCTGTAATTATTAGATATTCGGTGATACTTTTTTATAAATTAATTTGTTTTTATCATATAGAATTTCAATAAAATGAACAAAAATCTTATTCAAAAAACTAGATGACACTAAAACATAATAACGTAACTACTCTTAGAAATGTACAACAACCTTGGATGTCACTTCACTCAGATGATAAGATTTGTGATAAATGTCGAAGAAAACTCGGAACAGCTAGTAAGTCAAATGACGCATTTAAAGACCCTGATATTCGTCACATCGAAGAGAACCCGGCTATTGAGTCAATTAAATACATCATTGATAGAAATTGGAGAATCTCCAATAAAAAAGAAGAGGTTGAGAGAAAAAAGATATCCAATTAAAAAAAATTACCAAAATAAAAAAGGCTGTTAGAATCTCATTTAGATATAAATGCGATTGAGCCAGCTACTATCGATAAGGATGATGGTATTCTAAGCAATATTTAAAAAAAAATTTCCACTCTTATCTAAAACTGATAAATATAAAATTTTGACGATATTACCAAAGAATTGGACAGTGTGAATGAATTTTTTAATACAACAAAATGCATAGCAAGACAAGCTAAATTAATGATAGCGGAAAAGGAATTTTTATCAACCCCCTAACCCCAAGCCTGGAAAAACTATAGACGAATGTACAGTTAAAAGTGTACAAGAATTTTATTGTACGGACGAAATTTAACCAAAGATGATATGTTGCCCATTGAAACATACAAACATATTTTACCATTAATAATTTATAACCAGCCTCAACCATACTGTTATATGGGAAATGTGATCCAGGGTCAACACATTTAACCGATCAAATAGAAATATTGTTTCGTTCTAAGGACATCGAATTTATAACATACAAACAATGGCTATCCGTAGATAGAACCACTCTTGAACCAAGCCAGTAGATGAATTTATCGATGCCTTTTTTGAAAAAATGGAATCTTTATTTCCCCATTCTTTTATTTCAACGCAACAATCGTTGTATCAAACCAAATCTAAAATTGAACTTAGACGAAGGCCAATATTTAATTTTATGTGATTTTTCAGAAAATTATAGCTTTATACTTCAGGATGAAGTACAAAATTATCATTGGAATAGAGCTCAATCCACTTTTCATCCTTTTGTTATATATCATAAAGATAATTTTGCCAATATTTGTTGCCTAATATAGAATATTTATCATATAATGATGAAAGTATAATTTTTGAAGAAATGTCAGGATATATAACATGTGTTTATGATTCTGATTGGTGGTTAGCCTTAGTTTTAGGGAAAAATCAAAAGTAGGAAGAAATATATATATAGTTTTTACACCCATCCGGACCTTCTAATACCTTTACATTTCCAAGTATAGACGACACTGCTTTACTTGCCAAAATGTCATATCTTAACATTAATTTCCCGTTAACTCCTACTGGCCGTAGTTACACATTGTCGTCACAAGGCGCAACCGAAAAATTAGAATCTTTTAAAAGTGAGTTATATATTGGATTTTTAAATTTATATTATATCAATTATTTTTAATATTTAGGGCGCCATATATGAAATGCACAAGATTCTGATTCATATATTCAAGAAGTATAAATTTGGTTGAATATATTTTATTAATATTAATATATGTTATATTGGCAAAAAATTTTATAATAAATTATAAATAAAGTAATAAATTGAAATTTATTTTATCGGTAGACAATTTCTATAATTGAATGAAAGCCCCATTTATTGTTATTTTCTTTAGAAAATGAATAATCCTTTAAATTATATCAAATTGTTCAAAAAAAACCATTAAAAACTGATTTAAATGTAAATTTATGCAAAGACGCCCCCTTTCGGGAAAATATTTATACACTTTTTTAAACATTTTTATCGATTTTGAGAATGAAGATGGCCTCGTCCCAGACCAATTTTTTTTATAAATATAAAGGAAGAATTTTTGAAAAAATTATTGATTTAGTTTTAAAACCAAAAATATCCTAATAAGACATTATTAATTATTATTCATTTAGTTTTTTTATAAAATTTATCACTTCAAATAAGAATATTCTTTACTCAATAAATATATTTTATCAAAAAAAATATATCGAAAAAAATCGATCCTTATCCGATTAAAAATATCGGTAAATTCTTACTAATATTTTTTTTACCTTTGATATTATAAGAATAATTAGAATTTTTTATAAGAATAATTAGAATTTATCATAGTTTTTTAAAATACCAAGAAATTAATTAAAAAATGAATTAATATAGTAAAGATCGTGTTATTGAATGATTAATCAATTTTAAATTTTTCTTTATTTAATTGATTGAAACACTCATTTATTCTTATTTACAAGTAAAGATATGCCGATTTTAGAAAATCCGATCCAATATTTATATTGTTTGGGTTATTGATGATAATAATACTTTTATTTTGTATATAATTTCATAATAATAATAAATTAATATTTGTAATATTTTACTATCTTTTCCACGTCAATGGAAGAATTATAATTCGTCATTTCATATATTTTTTTTTGGTAAAAACAAAACAATAAATACAATGTACATAATATGGAGTCACAAAAAAAATATAATATATCTTGACTTTGAAAAATTTTTTTTTTTTGCGACAATCACATTATTTTAAAAAAATTGATCGAAAATTGATCGAACATATTTTATTAATATTTATTAAATATATGTTATATGGGCAAATATATAATAATTATAAATAATAATGTAATAAATTGAGTTTCTTTTATCGATAGATAATTTCTATACTTGAATGAAAGCCCCATTTAAAGTGAAGAAAATATTATAATTTATATTTACAAGATGAATAATCCTTTAAATTATATCAAATTGTTCAAAAAAAACCATTAAAAACTGATTTAAATATGAATTTATGCAAAGACGCCCCCTTTCGGGAAAATATTTATACACTGTTCTAAACATTTATATCGATTTTGAGAATGAAGATGCCCTCGTCCCAGACCAATTTTTTCTTATAAATATAAAGGAAGAGGTCTACTAAATTTTTTAAAAAAATTGAAGGTCGTATTATTTCTAAAAAATCGTTTTTAGTCCTTGTATATTTAATAAAATGGCCGAAAATTGAAAAAAAAAATAATTTTTTTTTTGTCTAAAAGTAGAATCTTTGTACGTAATTTTGATATTAAATTTGTTATTTACAATTAGATAGTAAGATATGCTTAATTGAATGAAGGCAGATAATGCTAAAAATACATCATTTTTGCCACTTTGAACCCTAATATCTCCAAAAATATAAATGTTACGAGGCTAAAATTTTGGCTATTACTTAACTACACTAACCTTTCCTTGCTTACTAAATTTTAAAAAAATCGAAGGGGGTCGGCCGAAAATCTCATTTTTTTTGCTCATTTGACATGGAATTACCCAGCTATAAAATGGCCAAATAAAGGCTGGGCTTGATTAGGCTAAAAAATGATCTGATTTTACAAAGCCCAATAAAGTTCTTTAAATTAGGTAAACTCCCCCCCCCCCCATATAGGTTTAAAAAAAATAAATACATTAATTTAAAAATAATACTGACATTCTTGACCCACTAGGGGCTGACTGAGATCATCCGAACTCTGAGAAAAAAATGTCCTGAATAAGCTGGCAGCTAGATCTTTATCCGATCCCACCAATCCGGAATCATAATCAAAGTGACAAAATTGGAAATGACCCCAAATGTCTCTTAGGGCATACTTCTTATCCTTTCCCACAAATTTCATCCTCTTGAGTTTGTCAGTCAAATCATGATAAAGGGACATGGTTAAAACTTTTTTCATAAGTTTGCAATTGTTATCACTTAAGTCTGAGATGCTTTTGCCATTGTCCATAATTACATTAGGCTCTTTGAAAGGGGTTTGAGTGCCAGGCAATGGAGAAATTGGGGAGGCATTTTTGAGTCTGACAAAGAGCATCCATAGATGCAATCCTGTAACAGTATACCAGGAATAAAAGGTATTTGAGAGCTTCAGTTCTTATTTTTTTATATATGAATATGTATTTGAACTCATTCTTAAACTTATATAAAAAACTTTAAAAATGGAATGAGAATTTTAAATTTTATTATTAGCAATTGTAGTGATTTACATATAGTTTATTTAATAACTTGTAAATATATATGTAAATGGAACTAGAGTTTGAGTAAAAATGATTGCATAGAAATTAAGGCTTTAATAGCAATTATTTAAAAGCACTACAAATAACCAAATAATTATAATTTAAGTTCATGCATTATAGATATTTATGCTTTCAATAATATCATATCAAGCATAACATTAATATTATATTTGATATTGATCTTACCATTAAAAAAGGAATTATAATCAATCTGTGTGGTTACAATCTTATATAATTCTTCAGATTTGTGGCAGATTCTCTATTATTAAATTTTTTAATAATTATAATTAATCTAAGCTACTTTTTGAACAAATGGCTTCGAATGAATTATATAAGCAATAAGCTTCTTACCGATAATAGGTATTGGGTTTATAAGTTGCATTAAAATTTAAAAAATAACCATGTGTTAAAGAATAGGTGAAAATAAGACGTACGATCTTTAAATTTTTTTTTTGCTTTTTATTAGCTTAAAACTCACTATTAATTAGCCAAAATCTCTAGTTATTACTAGACCTGATGGTTTCAGTCGATTATCTTAACCAATTACCTGGGATTACAAATACATTGATTTTTTAGCACAATCCAATTTAAATTACCTTAGCAATCACTATAGCCTAATCCTGAAATAAATATATTTATAAAAATTGTAATATTTACCTTATTTTGCACCAATAAATATTCTTCTGTTTTTAGGTAAAATTCATTACACTATTGGGAAATCAAATAAATTGAATAAGTGGCGATCATATTGAAGTTTTCTACCTAATGTAATATATAACAATAGATATTCATCTAAGAAACATTAATGTAACAATTGAAATAAATTTATTAAAATTTTTCTAATTAGATTTTTATCCAATTATTATTTTTTGATTTATATGGGACATATTGTTATTATTGTAATTGCGACTTTAATATGTATATTTTATAAATTAAATTGAATTTAAGTTTAAAAATGGACATTTTAAAATGTATAAAAATATAAAAAATACTATGAATATGCATAGTTAAATAAATTGAAATATCGCATTTATGAATAAAATATTTTCCTAGTGGATCAAATACCCTCTTTTATAATATGTAAAATAAATACATTTCTCATAGCTTGTTATTCATTTCTAATGGGTCAAAAAGTTTCTAGGACTGATTTCGAATGGGTTTATACTGATGAACCTCACGCCACTAGGAGAAAAGAAATATTAAGTATTATTTTTCTTTATATTACAATATTCCTTACATAAAGTTTGATTAATAAATTTATATAATATCTGTATTTATCTACTTTGTTTTAGAAAAATATCCAGAAATCAAAAAATTAATGGGTTATGATGCCTCACTTAAATATATAGCTCTAATTATGATGTTATTTCAGTTCACTGCTTGCTTTTTTGTCAAGGATTTTTCTTGGCCAGTTGTATTTGTATTAGCTTATTTCATTGGAGGGGTTAGTAATTTAATTTTTTACATATATATATTTATAATTTTATTCATAATTGCCTTTTTTTTTTAAAAAAAATACATTGATAATGACCTTATTTTTTAATTTGAACATTTCTCTTTGTCATAAAACATGCATGAGTCATAATAATAATTTTTTATTTTTGAAAAGTTTTTTTTGAATAAATTATTAATGATAAAATCATTTGTTTCAAATTTACTCTTTAATTTATAAAGAGATTGTGTTTGTGTATACACTAATTTATAGATATTTGTATTAAGTTTTCTCTTTCTATAGAACATAGCCACAGGGTGACATAAATAATTTCTCCTCAATTGCCCCAATAAATGAAATTTGTCATATAATTAAAATTTAGAAGAAAAAAATTTTCAAAACGATCTAATTTAAAATTCACCAATAAAATTTTAGGAGAAGCCTATGACTCACAAATTTTCTAATAAGTTCTCAAATTATATAGGATAAACTTATAGCACACAAAAAAAATTTCTCTTGATTTTGTGCAAAAAAAAGATTTGAAACATATAAGATACATTGTGTAAAATTAAAATACCCTACAAAATAATTGGCTAGGTCCTTCTTCTTCTTTATCATTGATATGGTCCCACAGTTGTGGGGTTTGTTTTGATAAGTTTCTTCCATCTTGATTGAGTAAGGGCCATGTCCGGATTTATCTTCTTAGTCATCATAACTTCGTCTACTTGACCTTTCCACGTAACACGAGGTCATCCTCATCCTCTCTTCCCTGGCACCTCCATGTCCAATACTTTTCGATTTACATCATTCGCCTCCCTTCTTAGTATATGACCCCACCTTAACCAATTTTGGTTTATCAAGTCCGCCATAGGTTGAATACCCATTTTTGCTCTGAGACAGTTATTCATCATATGGTCGAGTTTAGTATACCCCAAGCTCCACCGTATTCATCTCCATGTAATAACTTTTCTTCCGTAGCATTTAATGACCATGTTTCTCTTCCATAGATTAACACCAGTCTTACGATGGATTTGTTAACTTTACTTTTCAACCATATTGGCATCTTCTTGTCGCACATTACACCGGATATACTTCGCCATTTAAGCCACCCTTTTTGAATCCATGCATTGACTTCTTTTGTGCAACCTCCCTCTTGTAGCATCGAGCCTAGGTATGTAAACCTGTCTACTTTTGGGTACTTTAATTGGTCATCCAGCGATGGGGTGCCTGTAACGTTCATCTCCATGTATACCGTTTTTCGATTGTTGATTTTTAAACCATATTCAGCTTAGCGTTATGACCACTTTTCGGCTTCTTCGAATACTTTCTCCTTTGTCTCTTCGCATAGTACTTTATCATCGGCATATAGCATACACCATGGAGATGGCTTTTGGATGTCTCTCCTTATCGTGTCCATAATTATATTAAATAGAAAAGGACTTAGAGCAGATCCTTGATGTAATCCAATTTCAACCCAAAGGTTTAGAATCTCCAACTGTCGTTCTAACGCAAGAAGTTGAGGCTTCATAGATATTTTTCATAAGCCGTACATATGCGTCAGGGATATTTTGTTTTCTCAAGCACCACCATATTAAATCGCGAGGGACAGTGTCATAAGCTTTCTCCAAGTCAATAAAGACCATATGTAGGTTTCTTTTTTTGTCTCCATATTTATCCATCATATGTCTTAGTGCGAAGATCGGATCGATTGTGGATTTGCCGGCCACAAATCCTAATTGGTTAGCCGATATTTCCACCTCGTTCTTTAGCCTTGTAACACTAAGATCCTTTCCATAAGTTTCAAGGAGTGGCAAGTTAGCTTGATACCTCTGTAATTACCACACTCCTGACCAATATTGTTAAAGAGGTTCGTCATGGTCGTGATTCCTTCTCGGCATCCGACCCATGCTTCCATAGGAATTCCATCTGGGCCATTAGCTTTTTCTTTTTGCATCTTGTTCATTTGCGTCCTAACTTCATCCTTCTGTTAGAGTTCGACCATACTTATGTTTGACTCAATATCGGGAAGGAAATATTTGTCATTAGCAATATTCATAAGTTCCTTGAAATATCCTTTCCACCTTTCCATCACCTCCTTAAATAAGGTTTGACCCACCTCATTTTTGACTATTTTAAGGACTCTGACATCGCGACTTTTCTTCTCCCTTATCTTAGCCAATTTGTACATAAGCCTGTCGCCCCCTTTATGATCCAGTTGGTTTGCCATCTCGGTGTACGCAGCATTCTTCGCTATTGCAACGGCCTTCTTCCCAGCTCTCTTTGCCTCCCTATATTCTTTGTAATCCTCCGACTTTTTAGATTTATGCCACCGTCTATAAAGAATTTTCTTCCTTTCGATGAAATCCCTAACCGATTGATCCCACCACCATAGTTCCCTATTCAAAGCTTTGCCTCCTTTGGTCTGTCCTAGAATCTGAATCGCCGTTTCCTTTATGGCTGCAGTTAGCGTCTCCCAATCGTCTGTTTCTTTCTAACTTCCTGGCACCCGAGAGTGTGGAGGCTTTCTGATGGTATTTATCGTTCGTCAGCATGTCCTTTAGCATTTCATACCTAATTTAGGTTCATAAACCTTTCTTCTTTCCGGAAACCCTTTTCTTTCAAGATTCATGACAAGTGAACGATGTTGCCTGGCTATTTCTTCTCCCGGTATTACCTTGCAATCTTTGATCCTCTATAAATCCTTTCGCCGTATAAGCAGATAATCAATTTGACTAAAATGCTTTCCACTTCTATAAGTCACAATATCTTCACGCTTTTATCTTTTTTTCCAACGAATCGAAGAATATATCTTTCTCTGATTCCATACCCCCTGTTTGAGGACATACGCGCAATAACGGTTAGCATGCCTCCTTGATCTGCAATCTTCACCCACATTAACCTGTCTGAACATCGTTTGACTTCCACCACCTTGTCCTTGAACGATTCGCTTAGAACGATACCGACCCCGTTTCTACGATTTGGTGACCCACTGTAAAATAACTTGTATCCCTCTCCTAACTCCCGAGCTTCAGTTCCATTCCATCTCGTCTCTTGTAGACAGGCGATGTGTACCTTTCTTCTTTTTAGCATTCGTCAAATTACCCACATTCCAGCATGTTATTCGCATTCTACCCACAACTAACTTCCTTAACCGCCTTCGTTGTGAGTCAGGCGCGATAACCCTAGCGTATTATTCGCATTGCGCGGGCGGAAGATCGCGTCGTTGGCGGAGGACGCCCTAGCTTTCTGTCGTAGAGTTTTATTTTAAACTATCATGATTTTGGAGTGGGTTTTTACAGCCGGTTTCCGGCCTGACGCCAACCCTCCACTTTTTGCACGCGGACTTGGGACCGTCGTAGTTAGTGTTAAAATAATTGGCTAGGTTCAAATATTTTATTTATGTAGATAATAATAGAATACTATATAATTTGCAAATTAGTGCAATCTGCGTTATATATATTAAACATGAGTAACCCCTAGAGGATTATTGTTCCAGATTTGTGAAGACTTGCAGGATGAAGTTAAGTTAGTATTAGTTTGGACAAAGCAAAAATTTATTAACAATAATAATTAAGCAAATTGTCTAGAGTTTTATTTACTTTTATTTTAATAATGAAAAATGGTGAACTAACTATATATATATATATATATATATATGTATATATATAAATAATTACATAAAATGATAAACGTTTTAATATTGTTTCGGCGAATAAATAATAATAATGTTCGATATAAATCCAAATGATGCTTTTTATTTACCTCAAACAAAAACAGCTGATAAAAATATAATTATACCATTTAAGGCCACGTCAAATCTATCAAGAATTCATCCGACCCCTTTTAAAATTGTTAAAAATTTCTGGAATTATTTAGATAGTTCAAAAAAAATGAGAACGCCGTTTATTTTAGCTCATTAGCACAGCTGGTTCCCGAGATACGGGGCCTCGTGGTTGCTTTTTTTAAAAATGGCTGCTAACGCCAAACGGTAGCATTATTGGCGCTTGCAACGCGGCGTTTAAAATCGTCCCAAACTGAGCCGTTCAACAACACCAATCTCCGTATCCGCGTTCGGTCATATTTGTTTAGCATGCCATATTTTATACACTTTACCCTCGTCCTTCCCCCATTTTAGCGGACCTTCAAACATTAGAACTCTTTCTTCCTGGAAATATCTCTGCCGGTGATTTTCCTTTGACCATTTTTGTATTGTTGTAAAGCTAACGTTGACAGCCACCATTTACCTTCTTCGAAGTAATTTTTCTCGGCACTAATAAACTGTCTTGCATAAAAATTTTACGGGGTCTTCTCAACATTATCTATTATTTGTAACGATCAGAATCGGTATCTTCACCATTTTCTTCTTTAGTGTCTCATAATCTCATATTTTTCCTTAACAAAGTATACATCTCGGTAGGAAGTGACGTAATAATTTGTAGCTCCTAGAAACGCTTGCAATTCCATCTTATTATTCGGTGCTCTCATGCAAAACTATTCTTGTCAATATTCTTTTGTAATGAGATAAATTTCTTTTCCTTATTTTATACGTGTCCTAAGTATGTCACTTGTTTTAATCCAAAAACACTTTCTCTCATAACAGCTCTTGAGGCCATTTTCTAAGATTTGCCCAAAACACTTTAATTATCTTCTTGTTATACATTTTTTTTCTTCTGAATTACCTGATACCAGAACATCGTCTAAATAATTTATGGTTACACTGAACCCTCGAAAAAAAAATAGCCGACATCTTCCTTTGAAAATGATTGCTGATGCTTTTTTTTAAACTAAAAAGCAATCTACAGAACGAAGAAAACGATAAACCTCTATGTGTTGTAATCGAGGACATTTCACTTGCCCTTTCGTTCACCTAAATCTGCGGAGATAGGCTTTAGAAAATATTGTTGCTCCTTTTTAAATTAGTTAGTAATTGCTCCATCCTTTGGTGAAGGAAATCTAACATCATTATCCAAGGCTTTATAGATACCCAATGGTCTACACATAACCTTAGGGTCCAACGGGGTCGTCATCCATACGCAATGAAACTATTGGTTTTCAGCCGCTTCTCATTAGCAATTATGTTAGCTGATGGTAATCAAGGATACATAGGTCCACTTTTTTTTTGTAAAACTTTTTACCGATGTCAAATATAATTTTTTAAATTAATAACTAAATTGGTTTCAAATATATGATAATTTAAGCGGGAAATCATCAAAAAAAAATTTGAATATTGGCCATCTCATGTCCAGTAGAAAATCTAAAATTATAATTTCGAAATGATTAATGAGCCTTGATTTTTCAAATTGTTTTACTATCTTTTCTAATCATTTCTTCCATGATTTAGTAGTTTCAAGGGGGAAAGGGTATCACATGATATTCAATTGTTGGGGGAAGGGGGGGGGAGAGGCTTATATTTTGTAAATTCTTATATTTATGTTTGGATAGTAAGTAGTATATTGTATGTTTTCATATGCAGACGATAATTGGTTAGAATTTTATTTTTGTTCACAAATTATCGTCCATATGTTATATAGAATAGTATTGTTATTTATTCTGCTAAGTAAAAATTTTAAACGTGTATTATTTATGTAGCAATGATTATAAAGTTATTATTTAAATTATATTATGATTATATTTTACCCATATCTATATATTATATATAAAGAAAGAAAGAAAGAAAGAAAGAAAAAAAGAATGAAAGAAAGATATATATATATATATATAATGTATAGTGGAATATTGGAGTTTGCCATTTTTTTTATTATTCATTTTAAAAATCATTAAAATTCTAATTAATTCTTTTAATTATCATTTATTAATTTAATTTTTTATTTTTATTTCGTTTCAAACCTCTACTGACTTAACTTCGTATCTAAGTCTCCAGAATTTTCCGGTTTCTTGGAGTCGTTTCTAAAAAGGTAAACGTTTCTAAATGGGATTTGCACCTAACATTTCCTTAGGAACTGTAAGAGAACGAAAAACCTTTCTCTCCCCCCCTTGTAACGGTGGAATTTTTTTTCTATAGCAAATTATATGTTGATACATTATTATATTGAAGTCTATAAACCATTCCTTGACCTTGGCCATCCACGAGATAAGTCACAACCTCGCCTTCGGAAACGCTCACCCTTGGAAGAACAGGTTTTTCGAGATTTTCGTCAACCTGCCAATCATGATTCCGTATTCCGCCGCCTTCAAAAAATACCACATGGACCATCATCGCTATCAAGTGAACACAATACCTCATTTTTTTCTCTTCAAAATGTAATTACAAGTACTACGAAAATTCGAATCAAATCGAATAATTCATTATTCGTACAAATAATAAAATAATTATTCGATTCGATTCGAAAATTTGTGTTATTCGTATTCGTAAAAATCGAATAACGAATAATTCGTTTTAGGTCTAATCACAATTACAATTTTAAAATTTTTTGACATAAAAAGAAAGAAATAAAATAAATAAAAGAACGAACGAACGAGCAAAATGGAATGATGCCAAATATTTTATTTTCGAGGTCACTTTACAAACATAATTTACAAAATTTGGTAAAATTTCTTTTTTTTTCCCGACAATTATAAATTTATTTATTTTTTTAAAGAAAAAGATTTTAATTTTATTTTTCTTAAGTTTGTTTTATTCGTAAGAATTTCTCAATTTATTCCAAAAAATAAAATCATCCATGGTTAATTCACACCTAGGGGATGTAACGCAAGAGGGAAATTTGCCCAATTTTTCATAATGTATCCTTCTTTTTTTTTTCTAAAAATATTTTTTTTCCTCGTGGATCATAAAATCGTGAATTACGGTTTTGTCTTTTGGTACGCGATGCATTACGTTTCGCCCAACAAACATTCTCGATAATACGATGACAGCTTAACTCGCGTAATGTTTCGTCTGAAGGATCCGGGTCTGGACCCCGGAGCTGGTGAGATATGGGATAGAGGTAGTTAAAGGTATAAGTGCTGAGTTAGGTAGGGGTTGCTCACTTTTTTTTAAAATGGCAAATCTGACATATCACGTGATCAAGACTGTTTTATAAAAAAAAATTTAAAATAAGCTAGACGGCAATTCTCCTTTTTTAGTTTTAAAGCTAAATTGTTTCTTAATTTTGGATGTAGAAATACGGGGATGCGAACCCGGCAAAAATTTTGCCCGGGTACCGTTCGGGTTCGGATAGACGGGTTCGGTTCGGGTTCGGCTCAGGGAAATATTATCGAACCCAGGTTTAAGACAAGACTTATAAAGAAATTCTTGACTATTAATTCTATCTCATTTGCGCGATTTTGGATAATAAATTTATAATCAATAGAGGATGAAAATACAAATATAAGAGACCCTTAAAAGATATTTTCTTTAGTACTAAAAAATATTAACCTAATCAAAATTATCGCTACAAAACCAAACGCGATTTAAGTGAAATACATTGATAGCGTAATTCGGAGAGTGAAGTGTAAAAGGTAGATATCGAATTTGAATCCCTTTTTCTTAAATGCCAAATTTATCTTCCATCACCTCAACGTGTGTGTATCGGAAGAAATTGTGGCGATCTCTTAAGACCTGTTATTTTAAAATATCTTCGAGATGTACAACTCACTAAAAATGGAGGTTAAACACTAAATCATGAAAAAGGATTTTAAAAAAAACGGTCATAGAAAGATTAGATATCTCGTTTTTAGTGATGCGTGGACAATTACTCTAGGAATTCCGGGCTCCGTATTCTAGAAATCTATCGAAACAGCGAACCAATAAGCATTCGGGGAGAATGTCGAATGAAATTTGTGAAAGTAATTCGAAGTAAATGGGAAACGCACAAATTGACACCATCCCAATGATGGTTACATCAATGAAAACAGCTGGGGACGCCATTTTGATTACCCGTATCATTAATTAAGAAATTTTAAACGAGAGGCCAACGCAAACTTTATTTAAAAAAATTGCCTTGATCATCGAGATAGTGTGAGGAAGCAAGTTATCTATTTAATAGTAGTTTTTAACGTGGGAATAATTACCATATGGGTTTTCAAAATGGAGGATCCAGCTGATTTGCATTCAACGACGCTTTTCAAATGCATTATTATTGCCGATAAACTCGTGGGGCATTATAGATCTACTCACCTTTTTGCGTCACCTCTCAAAAATTTGTAATCTGAATTCCTCACTTAGGGTTTTAAACTATTTATTTTCCTCTAGATTCTGATGTCAATCATTTTTTTTTCTCGATAACTCATCCAAAAATGTTCTGCTTATTTAATGATGTCCTATCTAATTTACGCGCGTATCTTAACGATACTAAAATTAGAATCTTCTGTATGTGGTTAAGTAGCCGCTCTATCCTTAGCGGGTTTAAAATTTAAATTAATTCGCACCGCGATGCTCAAGCGGATTTTTTTTGTTCGGGCGCGCGTTTTGTTAATTAAGCGGAATTGGATAAATAATTTTATAACCGAATATATCGCGAAAACTTTTTTTTTAAAAAAAAATTGAAGGGTGACGATCAGCTTGACCTTGACATTCCGTCCTTGTTGGAGACCCGTCTGTTCGCCAACACTTTCACGAAATTGATCTGGCTGTTTCTTCAACCCTTATTCTACGCGCTTCGCCCTATCCTGACCCGCCCTAAACCGCTGACACTTTTGGAAGCCGTCAATCTGTGCTCCCAGCTGAGCTTCGACGTCCTTCTGTATCATTACCTGGGAGCCAAGCCGGTGTTTTACTTGTTGGGTGGAGCGTTGATGGCCATGGGAATCCATCCTATGGCCGGCCATTTTATTAGCGAGCACTACATGTTCGCCAAAGGTTACGAGACCTACTCCTATTATGGCGTGCTCAACAAGGTCACCTTCAACGTTGGGTCAGTTTATATATGACATATTTTATATTATATATATTCCCCTCATAGCTTTACTATTAAAAGGGTAAGATATGAAGAATAATCCCTTATTCGTATTATTACGTTGTGATCTTTATATCTAAAATACAAGAAATATATATATTTTTTTAAAATGGATATAAACCACTATAATACTAAACCGACGATTACACATTATTTTTTTGACCTTTATAACGATATTCGAATAAAAGGGTCACGACGGGTAAGATCTAAAGTGGAGAGAAGGAAAGATGTCTTATATGCACGTCAAATCTTTTCGTATACTTCACGCTTTGGCCTAAAATTTATTTGTAAATTCCCGTTGCCGACATTTTATTTAACATTTTTTTAAAAAAAATATTGGACTGGAGTGTATTAACCAATGACATATAATAATACCTAGACTGACGATTCATTCATTAAAATGCATTTTTAAGCGTCGTTAAAAGCAAATCAGCTGGACCCGCCATTTTGGTAACCTTTATAATAATTATTTTCATGTTAAAAACTAATATTAAATTGATAACTTACTTTCTTATTATCTCGATGAACAGGCAATTCTTTAATAAAGTTTGCATCAGATATAATATAAAATTAGGCTCTCGTTTAAAATTTTAATATTTATTACAGTAACCAAGATGGCGTCTCTAGCTGATTTGTATTGATGTACACTTTTAATGAATGAATCGTCAGTCTAGGTATCATTATATGTCATTGGTATTAACCTGGTTTGGCGGTGTATTAGGCGGAGGGGTACAAAAATACAGGGCAATTAAGACGTATTTCGCTTGTAAGATAATTATCACGTGGGTGAGGCTAGGTCTTGGAGGAGGGGTCAGGAATATTATCGGCTCAAAATATTGATACGGGTAATATTTTTTGACTCAAATAGTGTTGTTTAACTTCCCAACCGAGTTGGCTTAACCGCGACCTAAGTCGAGTATTTATATAACTGATAAGAAATATTGTTAGATATTTTAATTTCACAAAAATAATATAATAATGATCATCATTAGTTGCCAAAATGATTGACGGCTCGGCCCAGTATATCGACATTATTCTTAAATATTAAAACTTATTCGTAAATATTTTAAAATTATTTAGTAACATGTTCCTTGCATAACATTTTATAATTTTTTTTAACCTTATTTCTTACACATCCATAAAATAAAATTACATTTTGAATTTTTTAATCTAATTTTTTTTTTCCTGAGTTTTAAAAACGTACTCATATTTTAATAAGGTCTGTTTATAATAATTTTTTTAAAGTTTTTATATTAAATGAATTTTTTTTTAAAAAAATAATTTAAAATTCGCATATTAAATTGCGAAAATTTAAAATTTGTCGAATATAAAGATATTTGTAATCGTCCCGCGTAATCGATAAATAATTATATATACATATATCGTCGGCCTAGAATTGGAGTTGCTCCACTTGCGCGAATGTCTAAAATTTAGAAAAAAATCAACATTAAAGTTTAAAATCGAATATAGGAAACGCTTATTGGTCAATTTTTACAGAGCTATAACTTTGGCAAAAATTATATATTTTTTTTAATCTAGTTTTTATGCACATATATTGGGAGTAAATGAGTTATTATGCACTTCTAACTCGAAAATGTCGAGTGGGGCACTACAATTCTAGATCGACGATATACAGAAAACGTCAATCAACAATAATGCTTATTGTTGATTGGTAGAATTTTAAAACAAAGCATTAATAATTAGATATTTTTTTTTCACCTATATATTTTGTAATGAAAAATCTTTATCGGATTGATGATATTTTTTTTTGTGGATGGAAAATTTGTAAACCCATTAAATTTATCGTTTGGAAATTCATTGTGAAAAAAATCGATAAGATAAATTATGGATTTGTTAATATAAAAAAACCTATAAAAAAAATGTATTTCATTCTGGGATTATGTTTAAATCGGTGTTGTTAAACGGTTCTATTTGAGTCGATTCTTAAAACCGGCTTGCTCGGCATTGTAGCCGGAAAAATATTTGCTAAGCCTCGTGATTTCGCCGACAGCTGTTCAATCCTATGTGCCATCTAAGAGCGAGATCGTTAGGCTTGCATAATCATTTTTTTCTGGATAAAATATTGAGTTGGCCGTTTTTAAAAATCGGCTCAAATTGAACCGTTTAACGACACTATGTTTAAATGTATACTAAGTTTGCGATAGAGTTTGAGACGTATAAATCGGTGCTCGTGACCTAGCGGATCTGAATTCTGATTAACTCGACAGAGACCCGCAGAGGTACCATTTGTACGGCCCGGCCCGGTTTTTTTTGAAAATTTTTCGGTCCGACCCGACCCGAATTTATTTTCAAAAATTATTCTCTGCCCGGCCCTGGTTTTTGTAAAATATATTTTTCATTTTTATAGCTAATAATGGCGATTTCAAATATTCGGTTTATAAAATATACGGCCCGGCCCGGGTATACTTAAAAAAATTAAAATACCGCCCGGCCCGTGTACCCGGGTCTGCGGATCTCTGATTTTTTTTTTGAATCATTATAATTGAGCCTCATATTTTTGACAAAGTTTTTATCTATAAGGATCTCGGTTATAAAATTATATATAAAAACTGTTATAACACAGTTATAACTCTCATTGATAAATCATTTATTTGTAATGTACGATTATGAGATTATGAATATCTTTGAATACAACGATATGTTCATATGATTAAAAATATATGGTTATCAGTTATATCGTATAAAAAAAACATTTATTCATTTATTGATTGACCGTCTGTCTAACTAACAATCTTCACGTCAGTCATAACAAAAACAGAATTGAATATACATAAGTTCAGTTGGTTGCGATATCAATACTAATCTTGATAATATATTTACTATTTTATTACATTGAAAATTCTGATAAAGGATTATGTACCGATGTAGTGACAAAGGTGTATAATAATTTAAAGAAAGACACTGTGGTGTCAGATAAAATGTTTTTTTAAAAAAAAATGAAATCAAGAATGGTTTAACCAGAAGTGGTTAAAATTTGTTAAGGATAATCAGTGTGATCATCCTGAATGTTTGGAGAGATCGATGGTTTATCTTTCAAGAAGTAAAAGAAATAATCTATGTTATATATCAGAATACATGTTAAAAATTGATTAAAAATATTTAGCCAAAATACGTGGCAAAAATGGTCCAAATGAAGAAAAAAAAAGATTTTTTAAGGGATAAAAAAAATTGGTGAACATTTTGATGTTAAGAAGAATATTGGGAAATAATATTAAATATATGGGTTCAAGTTTAATATTAAAAATCAAATGAATATAAAATTAATTACCTATTTGGTTTAAAAAATTAATTAATTACATATATATTGTTAAATATAAAAGAAAAACTTTTTATATTATTATATTAAGGTCATTCATTTTCTTCAAACTCACAAATAAAGTGTGTTTTAAAGGTTATTTGAGGTTAAATTGAATCGCACAATTTGCGTGAATCTAGCGGGGAAAAATAATATAAGCCATTTTTAATGGGAAAATTAAAATGTTGGCCTAAATTATTTTTAACATAATATTATAGGCCATTTAGACAAGGCTTGTAAATTTTTTGTCAATGGAAGAATTTGAATCCTGTAAAATAATATGATAAAATAGATTTCAATTGGCAAATGTGCGATGCACAGACCTGAGTATTTGTTTGTTTTAACTGTATGAGTTTATTTACTTAAAAAGTATTTTTGCAAATGGCTGCCAAATGAACGATGTTTTTTTTTAACATTATAAAATTGGGCGTTGGGATGTTAATAAAAGTTTAGTTTGGGGAATTTTTTAATTTATTATTCGTACGGGATACAAATAAGGAATTATTCGATTCGACATGTATAATACCTAGACTGACGATTCATAATCAGCTGGAGACGCCATCTTGGTTACACTAATCATTATTAAAATTTTGAACGAGAGAGCTTAATTTATTCCTACATCTGGTGCAAACTTTATTAAAGAATTACCGGATCATCGAGAAAATAAGGAGGCAAGTAGTTATCAATTTAATAGTAGTTTTTAACATGAGAATAATTACGATACGTATTACCAAAATGGCGGGTCCAGCTGAATTTCATTCCACGACGCTTAAAAATGCATTTTAATGAATGAATGGTCAGCCTAGGTACTATATACGTCATTGGGTATACCCATGGCTCTAGGAACAATTATTCCCTCATGTCTTTCCAGTTCATGCTATTCTGAAGTTGAACAAGATCGCAGCCAGGCTTATATAAGAGTTACTCTTATTCGTTAAGAGATTCCCTAAAGTTTTTATTGGGTAAGGTTTTCGACCAATCGTGGCCCTCCGATTTTATCGTTTTGTTTTTTAAAAAATGGCGTCCTCAAGAAATGAACTGGCGGGGGGGGGCTGAAGGATATATTAACTAGATTATTTATCTGTTAATACTTTAAATTGATCATACTATACTTATAATGTTATACCTCAAAAAAAATGTATTTATCAGCTATATTTTTTCCATATAGGTACCATATGGAGCATCACGATTTCCCAAGTGTACCCGGTTCTAAGCTACATTTGGTAAGCTTATTCGTTTACATCCATTTATTTTTATATGATTCACTATTAATAAGCATCCACAATTCTGTGTGAGGAGTAAAGGGAAAAGGGGGATTTCGCTTCTGTTTTGATAATATAACCTTTTACACAACAAAAAAATCAAGGTAAGAGCTATAGCCAAAGAATATTACGAAGATTTGCCTTGTCACACCTCGTGGTGCAAAGTTCTCTACGATTTTGTCTTCGATCCAGACATCGGGCCGTTCGCGAGAATCAAGAGACCCTCTATTCTCGATCAAGAAGGACACGATTCTAAACAAAATTGTTGCCCAAAGAAAGAAAAATGTGAAGATGGTCCTAATGGCTTACCACCAATTGGGAATGGAGACATTTTTAAATCGCAATGAAACAATTATTGCAAAGTTGTTAAGAAGAGAAATTAACATTTTAGAAGTGAATTTGCTCAGAATGCTGTGATAAATCATATTTATAACGAACGATTTAAATTTCGCATTTTTATTTTATAAAAAAATATTCCCTCAGTCAGAATTAATATTATTAACTTGCACTTTTTTGATTGGTTTGAAAAGCGGAGAAGTCCGCCATCGCAAGGCATTAAATTAGTCATCTCTTCATGTTAGTATTAATATCGTAGCACCCAAGGCACCAAAATTGTATTTTTTTTAAAAAGAAAATCTCACAAAGATCCCCTTAATTAATTAGCTTGTTTTTGATAAATATCAGTTTTTTTTATTAAGAATTTTATTAGAATAAATTTGCTTCCACTAGTCACGTAAGATCTAATTTTAATTTTTTTTAGCCTAAATTTATTTTGAAAATTTTTACCCGCTAAATAATAAAAATATGCCGATGTTTACATGTCACGTGATTTTGAATCCCAAAAGCCATTTTTATTTTGTCCATTTACTACAACTAAGCGCTAATTTTGATTGGATAGCTCAAATTAACATTGTAACCCATTGTGGTGATACATAGCAATATGACCGAAAACTTGCTTCTTTTTTTTAAAAGCTCTTTATACATTTATTTTATTTTTTTCGAATAAAAATTCTCGGAACAATTATATCATAACATTTAGAAACAAAAAAAAAATTTGATGTATTTAATATTGAATTTTAAAATGTGATTTTTTTTTTCTTCTCATTTTGTAAAAATTGTTAGCTTATTTAATCATCATTTAAAAAAATTGATAATATATACATTCGTATATCTATTATTGTATTTATTTATTTTTTTAAATATCACGTCAAAAACCATTACCCCCCTTTTTTTATATATATGTTAAAGCAGTACATAAACTTGTATTTCTGATTGTTTGCCATTAGCTTATACCGATAAGTTTTAAGGAAATATATATATAATGTCGAGCTGTCTGTTTTATTATAATTCTATATAATATAAATGTTTTATATTAAAATAAATTAAAGTGTAGTTTTAACAATGAATTAAGATTGAAAAATAAAATTGGCATGACATATCCTAGATTAACATGTAGGTCGATATCTTAATAGGGCACTTTTGCGCAAGCGCAATTCATAAATTGATTTTAAAAATTTTTTTTAAAACAGAATTTAAATAGAATACATGTATCTAGGTATTATTTATAGAAAGAAAAGTATCTGTTAATAATTCTGTACAATAGCATCATTATGACACCGCAAAGATAATGAGTATTCCAAAATGATTATAAATTTATATTAGCCATTTACATATTTTATTTAATCGTTAAGGAAAGTGGTAGCCAAACCAAGAGTTTTAAATAAAATAATTTGGAGGCAAAATTTAACATAGAGCCTGCCCCCTCCACTAAAATATTTTGATTCTCTAACCCCCATTTGTAAGCAAATCTACCCTCACCCCATTTAATTTTACAGAATGCTTATATACCTTCTTCCACTAAAAGCAATACGACTAATTTTACAGTTATTAGGAATTTTATTGTTTTGGGTAATACCAATCACAACACCATTATATTCTGTATCATAGTTTATAAATAGTGATTAAATATTAAAATCGGGGAATCAAAGTCAAGCCTTGGCATCGCTGATAATTTTGTTGTAGAAATCGAGTTCGCATTCAAGAGCGCGTTTGATGTTTTTGGGGTCCTTAAAGCCATGTCCTTCACCTTCAATAAATTCGATAAAAAAAAACTTATAATTGTAAAGTTAACGTCCAAAATTTGATTACACCACATTAACATTTTAATTTAATATTATTAGATTTTTCGTATATACTCCCTTAAATAAATATATTATTGCTTAGGATCCACACCCCCCAGAGTTCAAGATTCGTGCATACTGCATTTTAGAAGACGAAACCTAATTTTTAGCAGGAAAGAGTCGGGGTTTTTAAGCCATTTATATCCCCTTACCCAACCCCCCAAGTAATAATTAGGAAGCGAACAATAAAAAATAAAAGTTAAGTTTTGGTCGTAATTCTAATAATCAAAACAATCACCATCGAAAAGTGTCAACGATGCAGGTATCCCTTTTTTGATGAGCGCCTCGTACATCATGATAGCTTGATTGGGAAGAACCACCTAAAAATAGAATTTAAAATGATTTATAAAAAAAGAACAACCAAAAGAATTTCGGTAAAAAATTTTGTCATAGCTGAAGAGGGAGGGGAAAAAAAACCGTTTTTTTGGGAAAAAATGTTTTTTTAAAAAAAAACCACTTACAATACTCACGGAAAATTTAATTTAGTGGACGATGTCCAAAATGATTTATAAAAAAAAAAGATCCAAAGAATTTCGGTAAAAATTTTTCTCACTAGGAAGTCTATGCCGAGAGGGGGGAGTAAGGGGTTGGGGTAAAAAAAACCGTTTTTTGGCGGGGGGAAACATGTTTTTTTTTAAATTACATTTCCTCAAACTGATTTTTATAATACACAACAATATCCAATTTTGTAAATATAACCTACCAATATTTAATCATAAATTTCTGAGAAAATGAATTTGTTCTGTATTATCTATTTAAAAATAAAAAAAACTTTGTTTTAAGTTTTTTTTTGACATCTTCAGCCACGAAAATATTTTTTAGCCAGGTTCGGTTCAGATTTGTGAACCCAGTTTTGATCAAGGTGGGTTCGACAAGGGTTTCAAAAGCGTCAATCAATCATTTTAAAAACCATTTATTACGGGTATATTTTATTCAAACTTATACGGGAACAAAATACATTTAAAATGTCATAAATATTTATTGTCTATATTAATATAGGAATCAGTGACGTAAAAAAAGAGGGAGGGGGGTGGCTATTGGGGGCCTTGAAACCCCATTAAATTTTAGAAGATGTTTAAAAATAGATTGACGTTTACAAAAAATACCACCTGGTTTACGGTATCGGTTCGAAGTCCTGAAAAATTAAAATATCTGCTTCAACTAACACAAGAAATATAACTTTAGAAATGATTGACACTTTCATGATATTTAAAAAAGTATAGTATACTTTATCCTCCTTTCCATGGATAAAAGCGACTGGAGCCTTCACCCGATCAATGTGATTGATGGGAGATCGTTCTTTATAAAGATTTTTTTGTCCATCGCCAGTAGATTCGTTGTGATTGACGTCGCTTGACCGAAAATATATATTAAACCAATTAAGTAATTTATTACTCAGTGTAAAATTTAAGCAATTTCTAGGAAAATGTCGCTCCCTCATCATCAAGATTCCAAAATGCTAAGGCTATCGGTTCAGTTCGATTTGTAACAAATATTAATGTATGTTAGAAATTGGTTAGAACCTTTTCTAACACAAACTTATTAGAATTTAAGATGCTATTCACTAAAATATAATATTGAGCCGTATAAAATTAAAATGTTTTTTGAGTATCGCCTCCGTCAAATTGTTATCTATTAAAAGTAAAAGGATACATTCTATGGTTCAGTTCAGAACACTTTTAATATGTTAGGTTAGATAGGCTGGTACGAATAAAATATACAAAAAAATACATTTTTTTAAAAAAAAGAGATTACTTATGAGATATTTATCAAATCAAAAAAAAAAATTGATGTATTTTAATAATCGCTTTAAATAGGTTGGGATATCAAAAAATTTTTCCCAATGGTTTTAGAACTCACCTTTTTCGTTCCGGGTGACAAGCTCGGTTCAGATCCGGTTAATAATAACGGTTAATACCGGTTCGGTTCGAAACCTTGCTAGTTAGGGTCGACACGATAATTTGTTTTTTCTAGAATTTGATCAACCTAAAAATAAAATAATTTAAAATCATAACGCAAATAAGTTCTTTACCCGCAGACGAGTATTTGGGTGTAATATTTTTCGAACTTATGAGTATCGTCTATTAGGGCCTCCAAATCGCAAATTCCGTACCTTGCAACTCCTTAAAAATTTTTTTGGGGGAGGGGGGCGATTGAAATATTAGGATTGGTAAGTCAAATCAGATTTTAAAATTTGTTGTTGTTGTTGTGATTAATCACATACCTTCTGGTGCGATTGTAAACGGCTGATTCGATATTTTAGCCAGATGAGATATGGCCTAACCTTGAATTCATGGTGGCGCGATGGCGATCGCGATTTAACAGCTGATCGATATATTTTAAAATCTGTTTATGAGATCAATTTTCATTTATTATTAATATTAATAATAATGTAAGAAATAATGGTTTTTAGATTATAAAAAAAACTGTCAGCTGTTAAATGGCGGCAATCGAGCCGCTATGACTCCGATGTAAGACTCGAGATTTGGCTAAACAGATGTTCAAACCTTCGTGCCATCCACGAGAAAAAAATCTTCGGCAGGTTCGGATAATATTTTCCGGGATAAAAATATCGACTCGGCGGTTTTTAAAAAAAACAATATTCGATCCGTAATGGGACGCATTAAAAGTTTTAGATAGATTTCACAATTAATTTGTCAGCGTAATATTTTACAAAATAAAAAAAAACCTTAACAATTAAATCGTCGGTTTAGAATTGGAGTGTTCCATCTCGACATTTTCAAAATTTCTGCGTTTAGAAGTGGATATAATAACTTGTTTATACCAATCTAGATTTAAAAAAAAATTATTAATTTTTGCCCAGAGTTAATTGTCAAAAATTGATCGATAACTTTTTCCTTATATACTTTATTTTTAAACTTTTCACAGTTGATTTTCTCATTTTAAACATTTGTTGCAAGTGGAGCACTCCAATTCTAGACAGACGATATAATGTAGTAGTATATATATCAGAGTCCCCTGTAATGCCCGATTCAGTATGGCATGGGCTGAGAAAGATGTTATACCGAATAAAAAATTAAAATTTGTATAAAAAAATCTATTGAATGTATATCAAAAAAAAAAAGAAGATCTAATTGATTTTAATAGGATAAATGCTACGGAATTTTATAAATTATATATCAGAGCAGGCTCGGCACTAAACCCGGCCCGGGTAGTGCCTGAAAATTATTTTTAAAAAAAATCCGGGCCGGGCCGAAAATTATTTTTAAAAAAAAATCCGGGCGGGCCAAAATTTTTTTAAAAAAAATATCCGGGCCGGGCCGAAAATTATTTTTAAAAAAAATATCCGGGCCGGGCCGAAAATTATTTTTAAAAAAATATCCGGGCCGGGCCGAAAATTATTTTTAAAAAAAAATATCCGGGCCGAAAATTATTTTTAAAAAAAATCCGGGACGGGCCGAAAATTATTTTTAAAAAAAATATCCGGGCCGGGCCGAAAATTATTTTTAAAAAAAATCCGGGCCGGGCCGAAAATTATTTTTAAAAAAAATATCCGGGCCGGGCCGAAAATTATTTTTAAAAAAATATCCGGGCCGGGTCGAAAATTATTTTTTAAAAAAACCGGGCCGGGCCGAAAATTTTTTTAAAAGAAAATCCGGCCGGGCCCTACAAATGGTACTTTAGTGTCGATGCGTTTTTCCGGCAATGTGTTATTTTTGCAACTTTAATATTGAGCGCCTTTTTAAAAAAATTTAAAAATTGGACTTTACCGGGCTCTCATGAATTGTAGAAAAATTTTGCCAGTAAAATCCTTGAGTCATGTATATAAATATATGAGAAAAAAAAAATATTTAATATTAATTATATTAAGTTTAAAAAGTTCGCGGGAAAAAATCATCCGGAAATTCAATAAGGGTAGGCATTCCAAAACATGGCGGCGTACATTCCGGCAAAATTAGATTTTTTTTAAAATTAAAAACGAGCTCAAAAGATGATTGACAACTCGATGTGGGAATTAATGGCGATATCTTCCAAATTTTAGAAACAGCTGAGATATCGAACCGAAACCCGGTTCAGCATCTTTTGTAAGATTTGTATGGAGAGGTGTTGTTAATTTGCTTGGTCGTAAATATTACGGTTCTTTTATCAGGCCGACCCGATGTTCAGACTCGGGTTACCCGGGGGGGGGGGTGTATAAAATATTTTTTTTTGATATGGGTATCAAATAAAAGGTAATTAAAATATTTTTTTATTGTATTAATAATAATCACTCATAGAAGGCGGGTCTAGGTCTTGGGGGGTCAGGAATATTTTTATCAACATAAAATATCGATATGGGTATCAAATACCTACTAATTTAAATATCTTTAGATTAAAAGTATTTATTTTTTGTCTTGATGGGTAGACTGGGTCTGGGTGTCTTAAAAATATTTTTTTTTTGATATGGGTTTTATTGTAATAATAATAGTCACTCATAGATGGCGGGTTAGGTTTTGAGGGGTCAGAATATTTTTAAACACAATATATCGATATGGGTATCAAATAAATGCTAGTATAAATATCTCTTGATTGTAATAATTATACTCTAAGTAGGAGCGGGATGTCTTAGTTAGTCAGGAATATTGATATAGGAATCAAGTAAATGGTATTTTAAATGGAGGGTAAAAAAATATTAATATGGAGGTCTTGTAGGGCCAGGAAATTTTTTTTTATCAACACAAAATATTTATATGACTATAAAATAGAAGCCAGTTAAAATATTTTTCTACTAAAATAACAGTATTCACTCTTGGTCTCTTAATGGTAGTGTTGTTAATTGGTTGGTTGTGTAAAACCCAGACCCGGGGTTTGGGTCTAAAAAATCGACCAAACCGGCTCTGAGCATGAACCTTGAGCACAGACCCGAGGTTCAGACACGGTGTCCAGATGAATAATATTCTTTCAAATATTTCAAATAAAAAATATTTGTCAATAATATCGAACTTAGATACTAAAATCCGGCAGGCAACTCAGCTTACGGTTAAATATTTTTTAATCGGGACCACTTAGGGCTTTATAAATACCAAATAGGATTAAAATGAATTATTATGTAGGTTAGCTGAGAGATTATCTCCAGCTATACCATCCGGATCCTAGTTAGAATTAGGTACGAACTGGGATTTGTTAAATTTCATCAACTAGAGGACGAATATTTCATAATATACTTGATGAAAAATAAATTTATTTTCGGTCTTTTTTTAAATAATAAAATTAAGTATCTGGTATATCTAATTTTTTTGAATAAAAAACCGTGTTTTCTTATGTGATAAAAAAAAAAATTTGATTATATATTTGCGCATAATTTTAAAATCTAAAATATAGAAGTGATATTAAAGCCCCCCTAGTTTCTATAAACATAATCAAAATATTTTTATTTTACATTAAAAATTCGACATAAAATTGGATAAATTTAAGATATATTTTTAAAAAAATTTCGTGGGCTCAACCCGACCAGGCTAAATTTTTTTTAAAAGATATTAGGCCCACCCCAGCCCGAAGCTGACTTTTTTTAAAAAAAAAAATGCCCAGTCTCTAATGTATTATTCCAACATTCTCGTTGAAAAAAGTGTATAATTATGAAAATTACGTTTTTTTTCCTTCTTTTTAAAAAAAAAAAAATTTCGGAAGATAAAGGAAATCAACACATTGGTTTTTAATTACGATGTTCAAAACTCTTATTCTAATATCAAAAAAAATATATTCGTAATCGTAAATAACATCCGCATTGCTTTTCTTATAATTATATAAAATAACCATATTAAAACTGAAACAGAATATAAAAAATTAAATCAAAAACATAATTATAATACTTAATTAATATTATATAATCATTTAATTTTTAAATTCTCTCAAAGATATTACATAATTAGAGGAAAATAGAAGCGAACAAGTCAAAGTAAACATTATCATCTAGATCCTGTATCTAGATATAAAAATGTGGTATCTGTATCTAGATAGATTTTTGATTAAATAATCTATAACTATATATTATTTTAGACGTTGTATCGGTATCTAGATCCATTTAAAAAGTATCTTTTAACAACTCTGATTATTATAAACAAATTACCACCCCAACCTAATTTACCATTTAACAGTGAATGAAGTGAAACGAAACGCAACTAAAGAGTATTATTATTATTCCTAAATATAAAAATAAAAAGGGGGGTAAACAAAATATTACATATTGAAATTAAATGAAATAAAGATTCAATTTATGTTGTAAATTTATATAATTTGTGATGAAAATATCAAAGTACATCTCGCATGCGTTTTTTTTAATAATATTAATATATTTTATAAAAATATTAAAATTTAGGAGAAAATGGTAAACCTCATAAGATATTCTTAACTGCTGATTCATCTATCAGCATTGCTGAGTTCGATAAAAATGACGGTGGAATGAGAATTTTCTCCTTACTTTTATAATAGTTGTCACTGGATATTTGAAAATAACGTCCAATTTTTATTCGTTATAATCCCCTCCCCCCCCCCTTCAGGACAGGTTCGATCCATTAAAACTAGGTGTAAATTGTGTCCTGAGTCTAAATATATTTAAAGCACTGATATTTCGATATTATTTGTTAAAAATATTACCGATCAACTAGGCCTAATATTTAACATTAAAAAAAATTTCCCAAGCAAATTCCAAGGCCATATTAATTTTTAAAAAAAAATTCCCCCAGGCCCAAACCAAAAATTTGTAAGAATTTTGATAGTTGAGAACCTGAAATAAAATATTTTCAAAAAAAAATAAATAAAGAATTTTAAAAATACAAATCAAAATCAAATTTTATGGGCCTTAGTTTTTTTTGATAAGGCCTAGCTCAGGCCTGCAAAAATTTTTGTTTTAGGTCAATGTCTGATCTAAAGTTAATAATAAAAAAAAATTCTTAAGAATCCAAGCACACAATAACTTTGAAAATATCCCCAAGCCTAGCCCAATATAATTTATAAAAAATTTTTCCAAAGCCCAGTTCCGACCCATTATAATTTTAAAAAAAAATTTCTCAAACCTTCCCTCGACAAATACGGCAGATATAAATATTGAAATTCCTATTTTCAAAAAATCATAGGATTTTCCACCCTTGAGCTGAGCCTATTACTCTCCTCACCCAAATATGATTATTATCACAAATTTAAATTTATTCTAAATATTACAATAAGAAATAAATGGCAAAATTTTTATGTAAATTGCGTGGGACTTGGTTTTTTGATCAAAAAAAATTTCTCAAACCTTCCCTCGACAAATACGGCAGATATAAATATTGAAATTCCTATTTTCAAAAAATCATAGGATTTTCCACCCTTGAGCTGAGCCTATTACTCTCCTCACCCAAATATGATTATTATCACAAATAAATTTATTCTAAATATTACAATAAGAAATAAATGGCAAAATTTTTATGTAAATTGCGTGGGACTTGGTTTTTTGATCAAAAAAAATTTTCAGATAGATACTACTCAAAGTATAGGAATTTCCTAAATACCAACCTGATTTGCTAAATAACGACCAAAATTCATTAAAATATAATAAGACCCCTTATTTATAAAAATAAATGATTTTAGATATAACTTTAACATTTTATTTTTGTTAAATATGCCATTTTATATCGGATCGGATCGGCAAATTTTATAATAATGGCCGATAACCCATACTTAAAATAGGTGAAATATCGTTTTACCCTCCAAAAGATATATAAAATACCATTTATTTGATTCCTACATCAATATTTTGTGTTTATATAAATATTCTTGACTAACTAAGACATCCCGCCTACCTAGAGTATAATTATTACAATCAAGAGATATTTATACTAGCTTTTATTTGATACCCATAATCGATATTTTGTGTTGATAAAGATATTCCTGACCCCTCAAGACCTAGACCCGCTCTCTATGAGTGATTATTATTATTACAATAAAAAAATATTTTAATTAATTGATACCCATATCCAAAGAATATATTTTTTACATCACCCCCTCCCCCCCCCCTTCATCCACCCCCAGACCAAGTCATACCCATCAAGACAAAAAATGAATACTTTCAATCTAAAGATATTTTAAATTAGATTTTATTTGATACCCACATCGATATTTTGTGTCGATAAAAATATTCCTGACCCCCCAAGACCTAGACCCGCCCTCTATGAGCGTTTATTATTATTACAATAAAAAAATAATTTATATACCTTTTATTTTATACCCACATCAAAAAAATTATTTTATACTACCACCCCCCCCCCCCCCCACGGGTACCCGGGGTCTGGATTCAGAGTCTAAACACCGGGTCTGTGCTCGGGGTTCGTGCTCACAGCTGGTTTGGTCGATTTTTTAGACCCAAACCTCGGGTCTGGGTTTTACACAACCAACCAATTAACAACATTAGGGAGGGGTGGGGATTATATTCACAAGTAGTTTAACGTAAAATAATAAATGAACGATCGACAGTTATTTAACGTGAACGAATTGCGTAGCTTAAAAAGATATAGAAAATCTCTATTCCTTTATGTTAAATTATATATATTACATTGCTGCACATAGAAGAGTAGGAACTCCTATAAGCCACTAAATATTACAATCTCAACCCGACGGATTTAAAATGATGTAAACGACTTAAAAGTTTAAGAGGTTATTATTACGTTCCCGTTCCCCGTAAAAAAAAAGACAATGAAGACTATGATGTGAATTATGAGGGTTAGGTTGATACGTCATAGGATTTTAGGATTAAACAAATCTGTAAAATCTTAAAATTTCTCTTCCGTGAAAAGAACCCCCAATTCACCAAGCGCAAATTGGCGGTAAAATGTACAAAAATAATACCAAAAAAAATACGGTCTATTTAGTAAACTCCGCCGCCAATTTGGTCTAACTGTGAATGCAGGGTAACCGCTCATTCAGGGTGGAGTCGTCGCCAATTGGCGCTAACTACGAAGGAGGGGTTAAGTGGTAGGAAGGTAAAATTTTGGATTAATCAACAAATTTATGTTTCAAATAGCTGACGATATTCGAGAATATTCTATTTTTTAAAATTTAAACCGGCTTTGAAAATATCCGGTTTGAAGGCTAAGCAGGCGAGAGTAGTGTACCCTCCCGAAGACGAACCGTTGATGAAGAGTAAATTGGGGTTGACACGTTTGAGCGTTCGGCTCATGTGGATAGCTGCCGAACAACAATCTTCGACGTCCAGGATACCCCAGCTGGAGATGATAATAATAATAATATCAAATTTAATGTTTATATTATAATTTATAAAAGTAGGTAAAGATATATGAACAATGTCGACGACTACATCCTTTTGAAACAGACCACATAACTTTGTAGCTCCACCAGATAAACCTAAAATAAGAATGCTTCATCGAATACCCCTAACTTCATGAATATAGGTTCCCAAAGACCAACCTTTCACGTTCAATTATGAGACAATAGAAGATTGGAATGCTGTTAACTTCATAGAAGCCTAAACTATTCAAACGTTTTTTCTAATATAGTTGTATTAAACTTAATACCATGTCCTAAAAAAAAGGAATTTTTGAACAAATTAAATTATTGATTTTGTTGATGGGATGGACTAGAGGGGCGTTTTACGGTTGCCCAAAATCAGAATCCATCTTTAATAATCCCAAATAAGAATGGGATTAATGCCTTCATTAAGCTTCGTTAGTCAAAGAAGGGTCTGAAATGATGGGAGATAAAAAAAATTTTTTTAGTAAAGCCTACATTAATAGGTAAGCTCTAGAATTTGTAACAGTATTAATGAAAAAGGGTGGTCAAAAATGATATCTCAAAATGGTTTTATTCCTTTAAAACAGAATTTAGAAAGAAAAAAAAAATTTATTACAATTATTTATAGCTTAAATTAAACAATATAAAAATTTCTACTATTAATAAATGTTTAATATTATTTTAAAAAAATATATATAAATACATATTAATAAAAAAATTTAAAAAAAAATTATAAAAATAAAAAAATTAATAATATTTAATAAAAAAAAAAAATATTCTGTTATTATTCAGTTTTAAAACTATAAAATTGTATTTAAGTATGAAAATTTATTCAATCATCTCACAAAGAGCAACTATTAGTCAAAATTGCAATTAATAATGTACATCATAGCGAAAGAAAAATTAATGTATTGTGTGTCATCTCCTATTCCAGAATATTCGAAATTCAATCCCTGACTGAGGAAGCAAGTTAGCCTAAAGCATGTTGAAGGGGTTAAATTTATCGTTTTCTTCTTCTCTCATTCTAAAATGAAGTAACTACACAAAATAAAGAAAGAAAGAAAGAAAGAAAGAAAGAAAGAAAGAATTATAAAAGCCAACTATTCATAAAATATTATTAATTTTTTAAATGTAAACTTTCCTTTCAAGGAATCCCTGTAGGCCTTGCCCCGACCAAAGCTGCCCCTGTAATTAACGTGAAATACCGCGATGCCCCGGGACGTAAAAAATTGGGTTCCCTTGAGATCCAAGGAGTCGTACTTTTTAGCGGTCGGTCCACCGTGACTCGTCACTATCATGGGTGGCGCTAATTCGTGGTCTCGCGAATATGGGTGATCTGGATTCTATTTTAAAAAGAATATATATTTCGAACAATACATTATTAAAGGTATTATGGTGTAGATGAAGGGATGATACACTCATCCAAAAATTATGCCAAGGAGTTTAGTTTATTTTACTTGGGGAGGATAAAAGTATCCGAAACTGGTTTGACCATCGAAAGTGGGGAACGTTATCTCTTCGGCTTTACTGATGAATCTCTCATCCAATGGAGCGCCCTCGTAAGTTTTCCTTATGGGGGTTAGCTTGATTTGTGTATTGTAAAATAAATTGATTCAATTTATTCTCCACTTTTTTTCCTTTTCTTTTCTTTTCTTATCTTTTATTTACCTTCCCGGTAAGTAGGTCTATCCGAGCCAAATATTCGAAATCGGATTTCGGTCTTATGATCGCGAAAGCTACGTTTTCCTCGAACCGGGCCAATTTGACGTCGTGAATTTCTCCTATTCCCAATTGGTCGCCGTTCAGCAAAAGTTCGCTAACTACGTCACCCTCTTCATCCCCGTCTCCTCGTATTTTGACTAAGTACATGTCCTTGATAGAATAAGATTATAAAAGCGTGTTACAGTTTCATCCAGTGTAACGTGCAGTTATAACCGATACCACCACCCCCCCCCCCCCCCTTCCCACTCTAACGCATTTTTTTTATTTACAAAGAAAGGGGCCAGTTATAGGTTAGGGGTTCATAAAAAAATTTTGAATCATGGGTGTGTATATGTTATACCTACCCCCCCCCCCCTCCCCCCATTTTCTAAGCATAAGATATTAATAAATAACAAAAAGAAAATAAATTTACATAAAATGGTGGAAATATCAGACATTTTTTCAATATATTTTAAAAGGTTTAGACCAAAATTTGGCAAATTTTTGTAATATTTATATTTAAAATAGATTCCTCATCAAATGTGCTATTGCAAATGATACAAAAATGAATAATTCTAATAATTATTTTGCCATTTATCAAGGAAAGTTCTTACTTTCTATCTTTCCTTCCTTCCTTCCTTCCTTCTAATCTATATTTGAAATATATCAGTTTATTTAAATAAATAGTGGATGGAAAATGTGATTATAGTAATTATTATTACCTTTAAAAAAAAAGGTATGCTTATACCATGGATTTAGTCTACATTTTTTACATACATTGCAACAAATAGAAGAAAACAAATGGCTCTTACAAATGGGAAAAAATGACTTTATATGACAGCCATGCATCATTCATGAAGTATTTTTGGTGGATTCACGAGACCTATGATTTGTATAAATTTAACACCGATGACTTCTTCTTTAATGTAAAGGTTATAACCACCCCCCCTTTTTTTTATTTACCAACAGGCTTCAGTTTTTGCTATTTTTTTTTAAAAAAAAATAATATATATTTGAATTTTAAATATTTTTTTTTAAAAAAAAAACATTTTCGGCAATCGCTACAATAAGATCTGGTTTGGTGGGGGAAATATCATAAGCTGAATCGCCAGAGTTCCAAAGTGGGTAGCCAACATCCTTATGGTGTTCTCCGTTAAATTTTACCAGGGGTTTACTTTCATCGCCAAATTCTGTTGATCCTTTTTTTGAATAGGTAATATATATATATATCAAATTATGCACGAAATGAAAAGAGATAAATTTGCCTAAACACAAAGATTAAAAAATTTCAGCCAAGCGGCATCAGCCTCTTCTACTCTTTATTAAATCAAAAGACAAAATAATTTTAATTCAATATTTCCAGGGTATAAAACAGGTATCAAGATTACTGATTATATATATTTAAAATTAATCTTACCATTTGCATTTATCAGAGAATGTATGTACAAGTTGTAAAACCCAATCAAATTATGCATGAAATGAGAATAAATAAACATGTCTAAACACAAAGCTTAAAAAATTCCTGCCAGGCTGCTTTAGACTCCACTACTCTTTATCAAATCATTACATAAAATAATCTTATTTCAACATTTCCAGGGTTTAAAACAGATATCAAGTTTACTGATTATATATATTTAAAATTAATCCTACCATTTATGTTTATCAGAGAACGTTTATACAAGTTGTAAAACCCATTTCTGTCGCTGAGATAATAGAGAGTATTATTGCTAACAATCTTAGGTTGCATGGAGCTAACTCCAGGGATACTCAATTTAATAATAGATGTGATGGACATATTTGCTTGTTCTAAATCTTCTTCCTCATCTGGTTTGCTTTTTGTAATATGAACATTTCCAACACATATCTCGGAACTATCCCATGGCTTTTAAAATATATTATTTTAATTTATATAAATATATTCCATTTTGATATATATATAAACTTGAACATTATATTCTCATATTGTATAGTGCATTGTAGTATTTCATTTTTTTTTAAAAAAGATTAATTTAGTATGGTAATATGCATTTATAGAAATTTTTTTTAAAAAATTATATCTGACATTTTGATAACATATTAGTTTTCATTTTAAAGAAATTGGTTATTTTTTTTAATTTTTATCAAATGATAATTAATATGTTATTGAAACATTGAATATATAATATTAAAAAAAAATTTATAAGCACATATTATCATATTAATTAATACTTTTTATATATTATGCCCTATATAAATTGCATCATTTATAAAAAAAAACCATATTTGGATGATTCCATTGATTCCAAGTAATATATTTGCTAGTTGATGATAATGAAGGACTTAAATAAAAATCTGAACCTTGAGCAATCACATTACAATTTGTATTAAGCTTTCTTGGATTCAATGCTATTAAGACATTATCAGGGTCTAAATTATCATCACAATGCTTTTCACAAACGCAATAAAGGATGTGATTCTAAAATAATATCAACTGTTAAATACAATAAAAAAATAATATTTATTTACCAAATTATCGTAATAAAAATCGGTATATCTAGCATTTTGGTTAAGTGTTATGGGCTCAGGATTTTTGTCTGCCCCTTTTTGTAAATATATCCTCTGATCTGATTTATTAACAAAATATACGTCGCCATTATTAACCATGAAGGAATTGCCCCCATATTCATGAACACGTGATGATACATTAAATTCTTAAATAAATTGTAGAATAAATATTTAAAGATTAAAGTATACCTTTTGGGGTAAATTCTTTCAATTCTTTTGTTTTATAATCATAACAGTTGATAGTGTTTCTTCCACCTTCACAATTTTTAGATTCACTCCAGTATATTTCTGTTAATAAATATATTAAAAGAAAATAAATATGTATGCAAAACTTTTGGAAGTTAAGTTTTGATCTAATTGAATTTCGTTGATTCTGCTTGTACAAGTTACAATCAAATCACTCGTAATTGGACTTTTCCAAGAACCGTATGATATTTTTGCTTTCATGCTTTTGAAAAAAAAAATTAAACTGTTTAACATGTGTTATTAAAGCGCATTACGTTTTCGGTATCCGCTAAAAAAACAAAATTATTATCTACACCAATTTTATATTATAATTGTAGATGGGGATTAGCTGGGTTCTAGTCGCTTTTAACTAAACTTTAGTTTCTTTTTAAAATATATGAATGACTTAAAAAATTAACTAAAGAAATATATAATATAATATTTTTAACTGGAACATAGCGTCACTAGCGTGTGGGGGGAGGCGCAGGAAGCCCAACTAAAAATTTGAAGAACCCCTCTAAAATTTTGATTTTTTTATACCAGTAAATAAAGAGGTTTTGGATAATGTTAGCTAAAAAAAATGGTAATTTTGTAATTAATTTCAGCAAATTTTTTGAGTCCCCTTAGAAAATTGTAGTGACGCTCATGCTGTGGCGTAACCAAAGTATCTTAGTAGATTGAATAACTTATATATTAACCTTTACAGAATAACTTTTTATAAAAGTAGTTAGATAGTTTTGGAATCTTTAGAATATGGTTAGATTGTTTTTTAGAAAATTTGGAATATATAACCCATGTATCATTGTTCGGGTCTCTCCATAAATTCTTAAATTTATAAAATATTTTTCAAAGTTATGTTATGTATACATTTTAATACCCGGTCTATATTAAAATTATCATACGAAATATCTTAGATTTGGAATACAACGTAATTTCTTATTTATAAATTTGGGCGGGCCGATTAGGTCTCTGATATTTAACATTAATAATAGAAGAATGAAATTTTCCTATTGTATCATAAATAAATTATTTAAGAAAACACTTCAAAAGTCGGTGATATTTTTTATAGATAAAATATAAAACGAGATTAATAGAAGAATCTAAAACCTTTACTCATATACTATATTTGGTATATAAAACTATAATAAATGGGATAATTTCGCGTATCAATAGGATTATCATAACTCATACATTCAGGTCATTTATTTACAAATATATTGTCATGAGTGGCGTTTTATTTTATATATTATCTTAGTATATATGTTTTGGTAACTCACTTAATCACGGTGAAATTTTTAACATTATTTTTTTATATATATTTTATTTATTTATTTTTTTAAATTAAAAAAATTTTTTTTTTATTGTTTGGTATGGTAGAATGAAGTCATATTTTAATTTTAACAATTTAGCTATAAATTGTCTAATTTGGTATTTTAATAATTTGAGCGATACAATTTTAGAAAATTATAATAACTGAAAACAATATTATATAAAAGAGTATCAATTAAATTATATTTAATTTTATGGGCCATTCAATTTCAACGATTTTAAACCAACGAGGCCTAAATTAAACAAGTGCTTATTTTTAAATCTAAAAATAACTATTTAACCTTTTTCCACAAAAATTTTTTTATTCTAATAAGTTGATTAATTAATTAATATTTGATTTAATAGTCCTTACCATTTTCTTGTTTGTAATTTATGCGATACAATTTTAATAAAATTATAATAACTGAAAACAATATTATATAAAAGAGTATCAATTAAATTATATTTAATTTTATGGGCCATTCAATTTCAACGATTTTAAACCAACGAGGCCCAAATTAAACAAGTGCTTATTTTTAAATCTAAAAATAAATATTTAACCTTTTTCCACAAAATTTTTTTATTCTAATAAGTTGATTAATTATTTAATATTTGATTTAATAGTCCTTACCATTTTATTGTTTGTAATTTATGCGATACAATTTTAATAAAATTATAATAACTGAAAACAATATGATATATATATATGAGTATCAATTAAATTATATTTAATTTTATGGGTCATTCAATTTCAAAGATTTCAAACCCAATAATGCCCCAAATTAAACAAGTGCTTACTTTTAATTTATAAATCTAAAAATAACTATTTCTTCTCTGAAATATCAACCTTTTTCACAAAAAAAATTAATTCTAAAATTAATAATTTAGTATTTGATTTAATAGTCATAACTTAATAGCTTCATATAACACATCTTGTTTTAATTGTAAAATTAATGAATTATGATAAAAATTTCCACCAATGCAGATGATCATTTATTTATTATTTTATATAAAAATAATAATTATTAAAAAAAAATATCAAATTTTTCCCCGTGATTCAGTGAGTAACCTATGTTTTTATTATAAATTCATTATATTTATTTTTTTTATCACGCGCATTAATTTAATTTGTTAACATTGGCGCATTGGTTTGGTTTTGGAGACTCAAGATGAGTCATGTTTTTTTGTATTTGTAAGAATTATTTTTTATTTCTCGTATTATAACGTATAAAAAGGCCGTTTTCTTATTATTGTTTTTATTTTGAATTTAATAACATCTGTTCCATCCAAACTGTTTGCGTGATGAAAAATAATTTCTAAGCGGACATCGGCTATAAATACAACAATCAATAATAAGAATCTGATATAAGAATATGATTAGAAGTTTCTATATTCTAATAATAATATTAGGCAGTTAAACATTACCACCCGATAATACATATATATATATATAATCATTATAAAACATATCTAATTAGAATATACTAATTCGTAATATACTACCTTACATTCATACATATATTTCCATTATATCAATATTATTCTATGTATTATAAAGCAAATGTGTACAAATAATTTCTAAATTACTTATAGAAACAAATGAGTTTATTATTTAAATAATTGTTAAATATTGTCCAATTAATAGGTTAGGTATCATGAATCCGAATTTTAAACATTTTTCATGTAACAATAAAAATAGTCATATACTCTCAAACATTAATACACATATTCTTGAACATTCCCTAAAAGAAAGTGTTCACAGGATTTAAATAATTAAATTATACATGTTGACGTCAATCAATGTGCTTATTTCCGGCAACGTGTTATATTTACAACTTTTAATTATTTTTTTTTGAACGCGATCTTACCGGAAATAGACTTTATCAAGTTTGGAATACCTATCTTAAATGAATTGTATGAGTCATTCATAATTTATATATACAAAATATTTATGGAAAATCTAATATAAATTATATCAAATTTTAAAAATTGATGGAAAAATTATCTTAAAAATTCGTAGGGTACGATGGAATATCATTTCCGGTTGAATCAGATTTGTAAATTATTTTTTTAAAAAAAAAACCAAATTAATCAATTGAAAAAAATGTCGGAAAAATTATTATCGTATTCCACATATGTTTTTTTACAATCAAAAGATCAAAAAAAATATTAATCACAAATGAAGATAAGAGATTAAAAGTAAAAAATTTAAATTCGGCGCGGACTTTAATTTTTTTATCCTCCAATTACATAATTGTTATAGAATAAAGAAATTAAATGTGCATATATATATATATTTAAACCCGCTCGCCATAAGAGGCGGAGAATGTTATAGCAAACCCTCCTAAAATATTTACGAATAAAAGAGAAGGGAAAGGAAGAGAAGAGAAGAGAAGAGAAGAGAAAAATAACAAACTTTAAAATAAATGATAAATTTAAGCGATCATGTTTGGGAAATATTTAAAGTGGTCTTCAAAGTATGTAAATATTATTATTCTCAATTAACCGTTTAACGCCTATCCTTAAATGTATCGCACGCCAAACACTTCAACCTTATTTTTTTTTCATCTTGAAATCTTAAGTATAATTTGCTTGGTAATATCTTTATTTACCATTTCAAAAAAATGAAAAAAAAAATTAATTTGTTACAATATATTTATACCCGGTTTCAGGTTGCATTCGAAGTGCAAACGGATTCCGTTTTTTACATCCGTTATGATATTATATTGATTTTTCATTTTTTAAAAATATTATAAGTTTACATTATAACGGTCTATAAAAGTTTGCCGGAATCAAATAGTCAAAATGTTTTGACTACAAAATTTGCCGGATCGGTTTTTAAGACGGAAGGTATCGGAACGGACGCACTTTGAGGTTGACTTTTGACGGAACGGATGTAAAAAAACGGATGCGTCTCCACTTTGAAAGCAGCTTAAAATGTTCACTTCGATCTTAGTAACAAATATATAAAATTCCTTAAATCTCAAAACATATGATAAACTTTCAAATTTGGAATTTATTTAGAAAGGGGAGGAAGAGGTGGGAGTGGAATGATACCCATTCCAAAATACTAATATTTGACATTTCTATTATCCTGATGGAATAAAATTGATACAAAAAAATATTTTATCATTATAGGTACAGGCGACCCAACATATTCTAGAAGTAATGGATACGCTATCCGAATAAATTAGGGATAACGAGTGCAGGATACGAGTTTGAGGGGTATTACCTATAGGCAAAATGCTTGCACGAGTCGCAATGGTTGATGATGATTCTTAGGAGACGGTTTCTGTAAAGAGGCGAGGTTAGGATGATCACGTAAGGGGTCAGTAAATATTGGGTATACATGAACATGTATATCTGTAGTTGAAACTTGTAGTTGACTATCACGCGCTCGGTTTCCCAGGATTCCCCTTTTACGTACAAAAAGATGAACCACGGGAGAGAAAATACGATAGCCATTATGCTTAAACATATTGTCAGAATGGTTAAATCCTTGTTCTTAGCCTTTATAATTTCTAGTTTTGTTGAAGAACCCACCAAGAAGGAATTGTTTGTGCTTCGAGTTCCGCTGCCCATCGCTGATATAGCCGAATTTCTAGATGGGGGACTAATGCTGGGAATGATAGATATGTCTTCATTATGAACATTTCCGTAACTTGCAAAATTATTTGTCTCGTAGTCTTTGGGCAATTTAGATTTAGGTAATGAAATCCTTTCAGCATCAATATTCCTACCCTGTGGGATAGGATAGATTTTATTGTTACAACTACTGAGATGGTTGAAGTTAAATGATTCATCCGAAGTAAGGACGATGGACTTAAAATGCAGATAAATCAATAATTTATTGAACATATTTTTAAATTTATCGAATAAGGCGGATAAATTTAACCGATCATAATTATTTTTCAAAACCGGCCGTAGATCTTTGGCTACCTCATTGCGTGTAATCACGTTGCTGCGTTTTATATCGCTTGATGTTGTTAATAAGAAATCGTTTATTTTATTGATTCTTAGCTTAGACCGTTGCAAGAACATTCTCATAGTTATGGCGTTGCAAACGATTAAAATGATGCAAGGGAGGAAATCCGTTAATATTGCTTCTATTTTATCGTACACTGAGGAAAAATGGGCTAAATTGCTCAAAAAGACTATATCGTATCTAACAAATGTGCCAACAGTGACATTTAGACTCTTGTAATATGAAGGCGTACCCCTCTCTACTGAGGTTACAATATTATGTCCGTTACTTCTATTATTTCCTTTATCAGTAACGTTGGTTCTAATAACCCTGAAATAAGTTATAAAGGGGATCGGTAAAAGAAAGTTGCTTAGTAGAATGTCTAAGACGTATTTTTTGACGCGGCTTAGGGTGAAATTGGTCTTGTAGTAGAACGGGTATCTGACCGCTATCATCCTGTCCAAGGAAATGAAGGCCAGGTGGAAATTGATGAAGCCCATCAGGCTATCCTCCAAAAACCATTCTAAATGGGCGAACCAGATGCTGGAAGCGAATGTATGCGACTTCTCGAGATTCCACAGATGGTAAAGTGTCCCCGGAAGAATGACTAGGAGCACCGTTATCCCGAATACCGCTAAAACGAGAAAATAGAATGCCGATTTCTTTTCCGCTGAGCCGCGCATGCGCATTTTAGAGATAAAAACTATCAGTAGAATATTAGAAAATATTCCCATCGCTATGATGAAGCTTATGTATCTGGCAGAGGTGTAACGCAACGATTCATATTCTTCTCCGTCACCGCCATTCGATACTTTTTTAAAATAGATTCTTGATCCTTGCAAGGAAGATTCGTTTAACTCCGTCGACATTTTTTTTTTTCAAAATATATTTTTAATTTTTTTTTGAAAAATTGAATCGTTCAATTTATTTGGCTATGCTTTAAAAAAAAATTTGTTTTTATATATTATAAACCATTATAATTAATAAATTTAAAAAAATATATAAAATAACGAAATTTTTTATGTTTAATTTTTTTGCCAGAAATGGTAGTTATTATAAGTCAATTAAAATTTAATTGCCCTGATTTTTCTTCAAGTTCATCTTGTATTAACTAATATTATCAATCCTTTTCTGGGTAGGATAATTATTTGGGTTTTTATTATATATGATATACACATATAATAATTAATTACATATTTTGGCGAAAAGGTAATAATTAATTTTTTTTAAAAAAAACAATATTTTCTCCTGGGATATTCCGCTCGATGAAGGGCTCCGTCGCTTATCCAAAATCGAGCCTTCACGACGACGAATCACAGTTTTATCACCAGTTGTCAGAGTTGTTAAAAGATACTTTTTAAATGGATCTAGATACAGATACAACGTCTAAAATAATATCTAGATACAGATTATTTAATCAAAAATCTATCTAGATACAGATTATTTAATCAAAAATCTATCTAGATACAGATACCACATTTTTATATCTAGATACAGGATCTAGATACTTGTATCTAGATCCTTTAACAACTCTGCCAATTGTACCCTAGGATCCGGTTACGAGTTTCTGGAAACCGTACCCTCTAACAACCTTGATTGGTTGCTTTCCGCCGACGAGCCAAGATTTGCTATTGGACAACGGCTCAATTGCGAAATTGTTCCACCGTACCAATGTTAACATTGCGAAACCAGCGTCGATCGCCATTGTCCATTTTGTCGAGGCCGTTTTCCGCGGCACACCATACGTAATGATATCATATTAGGTGCACTCAAATCCGCAAGCTTTCATAGACTTGAACTAACCGGAATTTTTAGAAACCGATGTGTCCTTGACTTGGGTCAAAAGGTCAGCCCCTGGTTCGGGACTTCACCTGCATTGACCCAAATGCACCATCTAACTGCAACGTCGAAACCCCTAGCAGAATCTCTAGAAAAATTATCAAGTACAGTTCCATAGACCCTTCTTCCTTACTCACACCCATCGCCTGCTCCATTCGACGTTTTTTTTTAAAAAAAATTAGGCAAATGGATTCGTGAAAAAACCGATCAGCCTGAGGAATTACCTCTTCTCGCAAAAAAGACTTGCTACCACCATTTATCTCTCTAACTATCCTTCCATATCTATTCTTTCTCTATTCCCCTTCCCATTCCTGGCTTCCTACATATATTTTTTAATCCCTTATCCTTTTTCCGTAAACTCTATTTCCTAGAAATCAACTAATTTATAAGCTATTCACATTTTAATTGGCGTATTATATCAGCCGCTATTCTAATAAAGTGGCCTATGACCTCGGAAATAAAACTCAGACATGAAACACGATTTAGTAGTGTTTAGGTTAAGATTATTTATTCAAGGTTTATAATAAGATTTTCTTCGATATCATAATTTTTTAATTTTAATTTTAGTTTATTTGGTAAAAGGTAGGGGGGGGGGATTCTTATTCAAAAAAAATATCCAATCTGGGCTGCTGCACAGCTGTTTTATTTGGTAATACCCCCCTTTAAAAACAAAGACCATTGAGTGGTACCTTAAATAGGTTATCAAGTACTTAAAAAAAATATATATGATAATTATAAGAAAATTTTTTTTTTTAAATTTAAAAATGTTTGATATATATAAATAAATAATATTTTATCCAAATAATACCAATCTCGAAAAACCAAAATATTAAAAACGAATTCAATGATCAATAATTTCGATAATTCTTTTTTTTAGGTTCCTTTTTTTCCCATTCCATCACTTCCGCAATCGGCCGTAAAGTAAAATCTTAACTACTTTTGAGCATAAGCTCTGCCACAATAGACGTCTAAAGGAAGGGGATGCCAGCGATCCTGTCCTTCCACGATCCCAACCCTGAAATAGACAAAATAAAAATGAAGATAAAGGGTAAATAATTGTCAAAACATATCGTTATGCGCAATAGCTTTGGTAAAAATTAATTTAGGCCACATTTTATGGATAAAACATATTCATGTCAACTAAATACTTAATGAAAAGTAAGTTCCCTAACAATAGAGATCAAATTATCGTATGATTTTAGAAACATTTATGGTCAACCAAAAAAATTTAAGGGTAATACAAAGATCTATTAATATCCCCTGGGTGGCCTAGTGGGTTTATGATGTGTGCTTGGAAGCACAAGGTCCCAGGTTCAATCCTGGTAAGGAACATAAAAAGTTTCAGGTTTTTCTTTGATGATAAGTGTGTAAGGATATATGCTAGGAATAATTTCTCTGGGAAATGCCTCCCCGGTTACCGACAAGCTTGGACAGCCGGGTACTAGGATACGTCCAACAAACCAAAAATGAAAGATGGTCAGACCTCGTCGGCCATTCAAGGATATTAGAAGGAACCGATAAGAATACTCCGGTAGGATATCTGTCGATATTGATACTTCGGTGTGAGATCAAGATACAATGATGGCGATACTCCGGTGGAGGATACAAATGGAACACATAAGAAACTTCGGTGGGGATTATCAGAGATAAAAAGAGATAGGATAGCATGAATAAATGTGGAGAATATTGAAAGAGCTTACCACCAGAAAAGGGTGAAACTTATAGAGAAAAAAATAAATAAAAAATCTATTTGTATTCTAATCACTTTTAGTGCAGAAGATTTTTTGTTGTTGTTTAGGATCCTCAAATACGTGTTTTCTGATCATTATTTTACCTTAAAATTCCAATGGGATTGATTTCTAAGAAAATCTTTAATTACGTCATCTTCAAAGACTTTTTGCTCAAAAAATTTTTTAAAAAAAAGACGAGGGCCTTATAATGATTGGATAAACCAAAAAAAATAAACATTTTCTGGTTATAATTGATAGCCAATTAATATGCAAATCACATGATCGACTGACCACGTGGAATAATGGAACATACGAAGAAGAGGTTTCAAAAGTCCAAGTTACCCCTTTCCGCCCCCTCCCCACCCATTTTTTAAAAAAGTCGGACTTTCGGGTGGGCAGGTTATAACCCCCCTTCACCTACCCTTTTTTTTAAAAAAAAGAATAAATTAAATCGAAAAAACTGATTGTTATAATAACAATTTTGTCTTTAAATATATTCTTCGTATTTATTTGTAAATAATCGACCCGTATAAAAATATATCCGTAATCATAATTTTTTAAAATAATGAGCAAAAACTAATGCGAAACGTTATCTATTTAATGATATTCTAAATAATGACTCATTAGTCAGATGATTAACCGGAAAGGGAATGGTGCTCGGAGAGTTGGTATATGTAAGAGACTAAACTTTTTATACCCATGATATGGCGATTGATGTTGATATGTTCGTGTTGCGAATGAGCTCCATCCGAGGCGTAGGATAGGGGAATCAGTATTAAACCGTTACTTGGATCCTTCAGATATTTCGATAAGTAAAGGGCCGCTGGAACTGTACCACCGTCTCTAGTGAGATCCGGGTACCTTCCGTACACTCTTTTCAAAGCTTCTGATGCCAATTCAAAATTTTTAGACTTGTAGTTTGTTAGCCATGGGTCAAACTCGTCCTCGGTAAATATGCTGAGAGAATTGTTAGTTCTATATTCCTCGTGTAACTTTGTTACATAACTGATCACGTTTTTCTTTACCTTTCTAATATTTTGACTGGGAACGAGTCTAATCGAAAATTTACCTATAACCTTGTGCGGTATAACAGTTTTGGTGCCAGGTTCTGAAAAGGCCCCCTCGATACCGTGTATGCTTAAAGATGGCTCCCTCCATTTATGGGACAGGGCTTCTAATTTTGAGGAATGTAACAGGGGCCCCAAAGATCCCACAGATTCTTTATAGTCCTCCAAATTAAAATTGAAATTGGTGTACGCTTTGATTTCGGCTTCGGTCAAGGAATCGATATCGTCGTAGACCCCAGGAATTTTTATGCGACCGGATGTTGCGTTGCTCAACTCGGACAAGATTTCTACGAGCTCGGCCATCGATTCGTGGACGGAACCGCCGTAAACTCCCGAATGGAGATCCCGCGATGCGCTCTGAATTTGCAGGTAAAATTCGATCAATCCCCTTAGTCCATAGGTCAAACAAGGAGTTTCTGTATTGGGACAAAAATTATCGGATATCACGGCGTAATCTGTTCCTTCGAAAAATCCTTTCTCCTGCTTTAGGATCCTTCTTAACCCAAAGGATCCCGATTCTTCCGTTGTTTCCAAGAAGAATTTTATCTTCATGGGTACGCAGATGTCCAGGTCGATCAAAGCTCTAACGGCATTCATCCACGCCAGAATAGGCCCCTTGTTATCGGTTGCACCGCGCCCATAAAAGTTATCGCCAACTTCCGTCAATACGAATGGGTCCGATGTCCAACCGTCGGATTCGTGCGCCGGTACTACGTCCAAATGACCGTACACGAGGAGAGTTATGTTGTTAGATGATACAGATCCGGAGCGCGGTAAAGTGCTAAACAGGAAAGGAGGTCCGAAAGTTGGGAACAGCGATTCTCCCTTGTGGCGCAGTTTGTTAAAATGTTTGTGGAGAGTGGACTTTTTCTTCTTGTCCCGCTTAACTTTGTAATTCAAAAATTTGGCGTCGGACGTGAAGCCCATATTCCTGAATTTATTTTGAGACCATTCAACCACGCGTACGAGTTCCGGGTAATTTTTGGGAAACGCGGAAATACTCGGGAGCCTTACGGCTTCCGCTAACTCTTCAATATAATTATCTTTGTTACTATCGATGTGGTCGAATATATCTTGCAGAATTTTGTCATCTAATTTGTGGCAATCTCTGTCAAGCTGAGCCCCTCGTTCAGAATTTTCCTCCGCGCGATCTATTCCCGTAATAAAATCTTGATACATGCTCGCGAAAAAGAAAACACGTCCCAGGGAACTGAGCAACGATTTAGGTAGTAACATGTCTTCAGTTGAAAATATCTATGAATCGAAATGAAAATTAAATTTAAGTTAACTTATAATAATGGGGCAGTCCCGTTTATTTTGTTTTGTGGTCTATAATACACTTATTATAATCCTGTGCCAGCTGGCCCGGGGTTGAAAGAACTAACATTTCCTTTGATCATTAATCACCCTTACTTACGATTCAAATAAATAAGTCAATGTGACCCTAAGCCCCCCCCCCCCCTTTCCCGTCCTAAAATGACAAAAAATATAAAATGATTCGATTATAAAAACGGATAATGGTTACGCATTTCCGCCACGCCCCTAGATTTTAATTTAATGACCCCACGATACGTACTACCCCCCCCCCCCTCCCATTATCACTTAAAATGGCCCCCAGCGAGAAATCGACATCCCGATAAAAAAAAGAACCAACCTTTTAATATTTTTTTTAAATAAGAAAGAAAGAAAGAAAGAACGAAAGAAAGAAGAAAGAAAGAAATTTAATTTAATTAAAATACTAAGAAGAACAAATATATTCATTTATGATAAAGAAAGAAAGAAAGAAAAGAACTCTTTGGCTAATATTTAAAAAAACATTATCCGTAAAAGATTTTTTCTGGGAATGGAAGAGAAGGGGGTTAGTAAATACTCTAAGCGTGCTAGATTACATTTCCGGTTTAACGCTGGTTTTTAAATTTTATTGAGTCGCCACTGGGTAACGGATTTAAAATCGAGAGATTACGAATCCCCATACGACACGTTATTATTCTTTCTTTTTAAGCTATGGCCTAAATCATTTTTGAAAAAATAAAATTTATGTTTTTTTTGGACATGTTTTTATTTTTTTTTTACATTTAAAAGTTTTTCCAAAGTTTTGTGAATTTAATTTAATTTTTCGTATTTTGGACACGGCCTAAACAATTATAAGCGAAAAACGAGGCAGAAAATGAAAGAATTATATTAAAGGGCGATATTGTAATCCATTGGAATAAAATCTCTTTTTTTTTTTAAAAAAAAATAAATAAATAATTTAAATGTAACTGTATCTGTAAAAAAAATGAAACCAGTCGTGTAACTGATTTGTTGTAAAACATATGGCCGTATATTTGTACAACAACCTTTTCTTATAAATTGGTTTGACTTGCTTATTATAATTATTGCAAAAAAATCAGTGTTGGGTTCGGTTTTGAGCCGTTTTTTAAAACCGGATAACTCAGTTTTTTAAAACCGGCTAACTCAGTTTTTTTAAACCGGCTAACTCAGTTTTTTTTTAGCCAGGAAAAATTTGCTTAAGCCTCAAGACTTTGGATAATAATATATCTAGGCACCTTTTATTAATAAAAGCAAGTTAAAACAAATTGTTGTTAGAAATGTATGGGAAATGTTGTAGAAGTAGAACAAATCAAGCGTTCTACGAGGCCAGGGTCCAAAATACTTGGACCCTGGCTAAAATTGTATAAGATGGGGGAGCCTGACTATCATAGATAACTAATTATGATTTATTTTTTTTTACTTTCTACAGAGGGAATATATATTATAGAACGTAGCTTTTGAGTCCCAAGAATATTTTGATTAGAATATCTTTCACAATAAAGTTATCAACGGTTAGATATATTTATTATCCCTTATAGCTAGGATTAAAATTCTACAAATAAAAAAGTGTAAAAAAAAAAGTTATGTAAGTGAAGAACGCAAAACAAGGTATTTATTTCCATAACCTTGTTTTGTCGTCACCATTGTTTTTTTAAAAAAACCTCTTTAAAGGTAAAAACTTAAAAATAAGGTAAAGAAGAAGACAAATAACACGACAATTGTCATCTTGAGTTAATTTATTAATGATAGCGTTTTTAATTGTTATAGTCGTTTCATTAAATTACCGTGTTGGTAAACAACGCCATATTGTTATTGTGATCATTTTTGGTATTACTTACTAAATGGGGAGGGGGGGGCACTGTAGAAGATGAAAAAAAAACTCGAACCTAACCTCAGGGTTCGGGGTAAATTAGAAAATTTTTTTTCCGCTTGGGGATCGCGTTATTTTTTGAGAAATATTTTTATATATATGTCATATAATATAGGGTCGGAAAAATGTGTTCCCTTTTTGTAGGCCAAAAAAAAAGACTTGGTCTCTTGATGATTTCTAATTAGTGCTTCTACGGGGTATTCAGAGCCCATCTTTTTTTTTGCGCAGATAAGATTACCCTTAATTAGTGCGGTTAAATTGCTTGGTTAGGGTTTCAAATTAGCGTGATTTTTTGACTGGTAGACCAAATTCTTAGACCCTAGCAGCCTACCCGAGCATCAGATATAACTAAAAAAATCGGTAAAAAAAAATTGATAACAATTCATATATAATATGATCTCGAAAATTCTCTTTGCACAATCAGACACGGGTTTCATATTTCCAAGATTTTTTTTCCCATTCGGCCCGACCCGGATAGCGGATTTCTTAAAAATCGGTCACGGTTTGTAATTTTTTTTTTCCAGGGTCTTGGTCTAAAAAAAAATTTCTTCTTTTATCTTCTACGAAGAATAGAATCCTCTTGAAACATATGTAGCTCTGTGGTGGCTGCCATTGAATCCTTATCTATGAAGAAAATCTTTTTTCGGCGATATATGAAATCCCATATATATTAACTTTTTCGTATTTTTCTTATCTCCCCATTAAAAACCGGTAAGTTTTGCACCTTTAATTCCTATTGGTCGATGGTAAATCCCTTATTTCCTGTTTCCTCTCGTAATTTAGTATATTCTTTTATATAAGTAATTAGTCATTTGATGCTATCTACCAGGCAAGAAACCTAATTTGCCAATTTGGGGCAGATAAATATTGAGAGTGTATATCTTTTGTTGCACTTTTAATTGATTGGATAATCACCGAATAATTAATTTGTGGGGAAATGAGTGAATGAATGCGAAAATTTGTTTCCATGATTACAACAATTTTTTTTTTTCAAATATATTTTTATATATAAAAATGAACGATTTAAAAAATATTTCGGTTCGGGCCCGAGTTATTTTGGAAAAGAAATTTTATACGATCCGGTCCGTTAACCGACGCAGACTCAGGACCGGGCCTGCGGGTTTCGGATAGATTTGCTAATATAATAATATCGGGGCGCGTATGGACTGGGGTAAAACAAAATGTATACGTAAGAATCAGGGAGGGTTATAGCTATAAAATTATGATTTTTTTGGGGAAAAATTTTAAATTTTCAAAATCTAATATTTTGATTAATACCTTTATAGTTAATAATGAATTGCGATATGTTTATCACTTTGTATTTTACGAGAAGATGTGTGTGTGTGTGTCTAACTAAATTAAAATACTATTACATAATATATATTATTATATCTATAAATAATTTAGATAAATTCATGGGAAAAAAAAATTAATAATTACGATCCAATTCATACAATTACAATAATGCAAGATATTAAAAACAGAATTGATTCACAAAAACGGTTGTTGTAGGAAATAGAGAAGATACGTTAGAGTCCTTATTTGGCGAAAAGATCTGAATAAAGTAGGAACTAAAAATGTAATGCCAGGAAAAAATTTAAAGAGTCGGGCGGTCTTTTTGCAAAATTTTAACTGGCCGTGCCGGAAAAATTTGCTCAAAAAATTCTCAGCGGAAAGGAAGAGGGTGGGGTAGGGGCTGTACAGAAACTCTAACTAGTGATACTACCTTTTCCTAGGTATCTACCAAAATTACGAGCCTTTAATTTTTTTATTTATTCTATTCCTGCACATTGAGGGTTCTGGGAGTGGATTTACGATAAAGTAGGAGTCGGAGCAGCCATATGGTTGCTAGCAGCCAGCTTCATCATATTTTTATGATGAACATAATGTACAGTACACACACTGATTTCCCTAGAAAACTCAAAGGCACTTTTTCTTCTTAAGAGTATACCCGGTTTTTTGTTCTCTCAAAAATTGTCAATTAAATTCGTTAACTTATGACTTATGTCAGGACTTTGTTGTACCTTCTCACCTAGTGTTGTTAAACGTCACTCAGTAATCGCATCCAGAAAAAATACTACGCGAGCCCTAAAGATTTTGCTCATAGAGGGTACCAAGGTCTCGACATATGTTATCGAAATCTCGAGACCTTGGGCAATCCATTTCTTGAGTTAGCCCTTTAACAACACTACATTCACCTCCCTTCCCCCTTCTTCCATAAAGTATTACAACCTCTATAAACCTATTTTGTGTATTGTCGCAAGTTAAAGTTTAACAAAAATAATACTTAAAAAACTTCTAACTTTCTTTCTTTCTTTCTATTGTTTGACTTAATACGATGCTTTGATATAACTATCCTACGTAATATTGGAAAAAAAAACTGAACAAAATCAAGCCAATCAGACACGAGTTTCATATTTCCAAGATTTTTTTTCCCATTCGGCCCGACCTGGATAGCGGATTTCTTAAAAATCGGTCACGGTTTGTGAATTTTTTTTTCTTTCAAATTAAGATGTCTTTACCCATCAGTCAGCGAAGAACAACTTGAAAATTTTTGCGGTTCCTTACCAGGATTGAACCCGGGACCTTCGGTTTCCAAGCATACATCATCATAACCCACTTGGCTAACCACGGCTATAGACCTTTATGAGGATAGGGGGATTTAAATTTGAACAAGATTAAGAATAATGATGATATCAATTTTGAAATTGATTTAGAAAATAGTCAAATCGATCAGAAAGAAAGAAAGAAAGGAAGAAGAAAGAAAATGGATAATATATATTAATCTTAAATATAAGGCGATTGGACGAATATATTAGATTATTTTTTTAGCTATTATTTTGTTAAGGAAATTAAAACGACAAAATAAAATATTATTTAATTAACGATACTTATAAGGTTTAAGCGGAAATTATATGTATCGTGTGGTATTAGAAACCAGTTTTTGTTTCAAGATTTTCGGGTTTATAAACTTAAATATTTTTGAATAATGTATTTGTATCTTATTGATCATAGATCTAAAAAAGAACTTCTTTTTTTTAACCTCCTCTTT